CATGAGATTGTATCCTTTATAGATTAGATAATTTCACTCCGTACAGTTTGCCATTAGGGTCTCTTGTTTTGATGTTTTTACATTCCATGTACATTTAGAACAGTTTTTCTGGCCTCTGTAGTTTCGGATACACTTCGTTTACTAAAAAACTGTGGTTCTCATTCTGATTTGAAATAAAACCTCAGATGTTTTACACCAGAGGCCGACTTGTTTTCAGAAATCTCTACTTTACAGATTTATCAGGTACACCTGCTCAATTGCTTGTTAACACAAATTGCTAATCATGCCATGATGTTCGAAACTCAATGCATTCAGGTATGTAGACATGGTCAAGACAACTTGCTGAATGGTAAATGGACTGTACTTGTATAGCGCTTTGAGTCTTCTGACCACTCAAAGCACTTTAACACTACATGACATTCACCCATTCACACACTGATGACAGGAGAACCATACACAGTGACACCTGCCCATCAGTAACTAACATTCACACACTACAGGAGCAATGTTGGGTTAAGTGTCTTGTCCAAAGACACATCGACATGCGGGTTAGCAGAGCCTGGGATCGAACAGACAACCCTCTGATTGGAGGCTCCTCTAGAGCATGTAGAAGTGTCCTTGGGCAAGACACTTAATGTGCCCGAAGGCTCTACCATGGTTGTGTGAATGATGACATGCTATCATGCACAGACAGAGACAGAACCATTCACTCCTCCAGCTCATATTTAAAGTCATCAGTTAACCTGCATGTCTTTGGACTGTGCAGAGAACATGCAAACTCCACACACAGGCCGGGTCAGCTGCTTCTCTTGCTATGAAGCATCTACTACAATTACAACACTGCGCCGCTCTATTCAGTGTGTAGCTGTAGCTAAATGACACTTAGCCCCCCAACTAGAGCTAACGTCATCATGTGTCAGCTTAAACGTTTGTGAGGAGAGAATGGCAGTGCAGTATATCTAGATTTATTCCCACGCGTTGCTTAGTGGTATCAGAGGTCACAAGCAATTATTTTCAAACCACCCTTTTTAACAACTGCGACGCCAGTGAATTATAAAAAAAGTGTTTGAAGAATAAAAATATGTCAATATGATAAATGAATCCCTGTAGTATGCTCTTTGGATGATCCAAGCTCTGCATCTACATGTTTAATTGCATTTGTGTTTGCACTCTGCAGTGGCACCTGCCCATCAGTAACTAACATTCACACACTACAGGAGCAATGTTGGGTTAAGTGTCTTGTCCAAAGACACATCGACATGCGGGTTAGCAGAGCCTGGGATCGAACAGACAACCCTCTGATTGGAGGCTCCTCTAGAGCATGTAGAAGTGTCCTTGGGCAAGACACTTAATGTGCCCGAAGGCTCTACCATGGTTGTGTGAATGATGACAACCCTCTGATTGGAGGACGACCGTGCTCCCCACTCACCCACAGTCTCCCCGCTGAAGTTCAAACAGAGCACCCAAATGTGGAAGAAAGAGGATGAGGTTACTTTGAACGTAGATGGTTGTTGGTGCCAGAGGGGCTGGTCTGAGTACAAACTGCTGATCTACTGGGATTTTAACACACAACCTTCTCTAGGGTTTACAGAAAATGGTCCCAAAAAAAAAATATATGTATAGATATTTAAAATATTAGGGACTAATCAGACGATATTTAGTGCCATTAGTGCCTACTAAAAGTAGAAGGTTAGATTTTGCGCGACCGTTTTCATTTCAGCTTTCAGCTCGGTGGTGATTGCAGAAAAAATCCGGAAATCCCACAAATGATCAGTTTCGGGCAATGCAAGCTTTTGCAACTGGACAATTAAGGTGGAAGTCATGAGCGATGTGAATGAAAGAGATGGTGCAGGATCCAATGCCGTTTACGTGCACGTACGGGGACTATTTCTTCTCCAGCCTAGTGAAAGCCGTTATACGTTTGGTTGCTACAACTATTTTGTGCCGAAAGGCAGCTATTTAGTTACGATTTATTTTCGCTGGTAAAAGCAACTAGGTACTTGAGGCAGTACTTTGTCTCTCCGCGTCGGGCCTAACAACGCCCCCAAACTGTTACATTATTGGACGATAGTACAACCTCTCGTAACATTGCTTTAGTAAAACATTTAAAATTACCTCATCTCATAAGGAAAGAGCTTGGAAGATGTTCAAATAAGAGAAAAACATATTGAACTAGAAAATGCTGAAAGCTGAAATTATTTTTTTTCTAAAGTGAGAAAAGCTGAAATGAATTTAAAATAAAATACAGACATGATACTATTAGCCATGTGCAGTAAAATTTGTCGTAGAATTAATAGCATAAATACTAGTACTTTTTGTTAAAGTAGTGTGACCCTGTATCACTATGTCATTCCCTTCAGCACAGCGCACCCTCTACTCCATACACCACGGTCACCCCTAGCAGGTTATGAAATGTCCTCTTTAAAGAACAGGTCCTGTTAGACTGCAGTAAATCAGCTAATGCGGAACAGCTGTGTAGCGGAGAGAGCGAGAAGTGTGTAAGTTACCCCGGTAACAGCGCACCTGCGATAATTAACGAGCTGCTCAGCGTGCAAAACTGCTGAAACATAATCAATGATTATGAAAAAAGTAAAATAGAGTTCCACAAGCTGCTTTTTTATAAAATGGATTGGCAAAGTAGAAAAATGTGAAAACATGTTAAAACATGTTTATGAATTTAATTCATATAAATTCAATCAGAGGTAGAAAGCGGTCATAGGTCAAAGATTCATTTTCAAAATAAAACAGGAAATCACAAGACAACATAGACACAAGACCACCTGATTAACACCGCTTCCTGGACATGATAACTATAGCAAAAACGGTTTATTAAATGAACTCGTCAAAATGAGTCAATAAAAAGATGAATACTGTTGACTTAATATCTCTATCAAAACAAAACCAACAAGACAAAAGGCAACGTGGGACCAACTTGTAACATCGAAAGGTCAGTATAAAAGTGTTAACCATAAAGTAAATAGTCACAAAATAAAAATAACACTTCATAGAAACCAATCAAATCACAGGAAACCACACCATACAACAAACACATGCAAGATGGCTGCTCCATCAATGTGTCACTCCCCACACAGCAGAAAGCCCCACAAGAAACAAAATGGCCTATCCAATTATTTGGCTTATTAAAAAGTCTACCATATACTAAATAGGGGAAAAACCTTAACGGAGCCTGGAACAGCTGGGGCACAAACCAACAACCTTTCAGTTACCAGCGCAGCCTCCACTCCATGCACCACGGTCACCCCTAGCAGGCTTTGAAATGTCCTCTCTAAGATCAGCTAATACGGAATAGCTGTGTGAGAAAGACAGAGAGTGCACTGTGTCTGCGTTACCACGGTAACAGCACACCTCCGTTCGTTAACGAGCTGCTCAGAGTGCAGAGACCAAAAACTAATGAAAACATAATCAATGAGGAAAAAAGTAAAATAGGTATCAACAAGATGTTTTTTTTATAAAATAGTTTAGACTTGTCAACATTTTAAAGTTTAAATGGTGTAGCTGAAAGATTGGCGAAGCAGAACTCCATTGGATAACCATGTGAAAAAAGGTTTATGAATTTGATTTATATAAATTCAAGCATAAGAGGTAGAAAGCTGAAAGGTCATAGCCACCCTCTCCTGAACGAGCTGAATATTTTATGCTGATTCCATTACAACAATGAGTTATGCTAACAGTTACACACATGTGATCTCCGTCACGATCATTAATTCTCGTGAATGGCCAAACGATACATCACTATTTAAATATTGCCACCGCAAGGTATTGTGGGACAATTATCTACTTTCCTTTGGTAAAGCATGGCCCAGTGGTTCCTATGCTAAAGAACCTAGTAGCTTCTTTCCTTAGCCTTTACAGCTCTTGGCTGTAAAAGTGGCGGCCACTTCCACACTACTTCTGGGTCATTTCACTAAGAACCTTCCTAGGCAAGAAGGAGCATTCAAATCCAGCCATTCAGTCATCTGAGACCTACATTTTGCAACCCCCCGGCCCCCTCTCCTCCCTTCATGAAGAGAGCGGGCTAAATGCAAACGGACACCACTTGGCTGTCTGACTTTGGGCATCACATCGCTATCCAGACTTCCTGTTGCATGGTCAAACTGGTCTTAATGTGGAGCGGGTACATTTATCAGAGTTTAAGAGAAGGAAATTCAAGAATTTGGCCAAGAGGTGACCTATAAAGAGACTAGAGACTCAATAGTGTTTTGAAAAAGTAAAGCCTTAAAGTTGGCAATAGGATTGGACACCCAAATAACAGCTAGGAATCTTTAAGCTGTGGTACACATGTAGTTTAGTCAATTTTGTTAGAGATTATACCACTCTATTTTGTTAGATTATACCATATTTAATCTATATTAACTCGTTACTTTTTTCAATCTTGTGTGCTTATTTACAAACTATCCAATCCCTGTGCACTGAGGAGTGGATGACATATGACCTTCTGCCGTCATCAGTTCACAGCTGCTCCTAGGACCTCATCAGAGGGACATCTTGGGACTCTTAGCGTCTTCAAGAGATAAAAACGACACAAACTTTCTTTACATTATATTTATTACATAGTAAAAACTACAATACCATTAATCATATATATATATGCATGTGTATATAAGGTTGTATGTGTAATATATATATATATATATATATATATATATATACACACACACACACACACACACACACACACACACACACACACACACACATGATCATGTAACTTCCTGTTCATGCAAGACTCAGCAGCTGATAGGCAGTCCTATTCACCAAATAAACACACAGCTTAGAAAACTTGTCCTGTTGGTGGCTCTGTAAGTGTCCCCTAAGCAGCTGCAGTGAAAAGTCCTTTTGACATTTGACACCACAGAGGATCCCAAGGCCCTGGTGAGTGGATACTAAGCTCTCCACATCTACACCTTACTCTACTTGTCATATTTGGCATTAAAAGGGTGAATTAGCATCTATTAGTTTCACAGGGTCCCTGTTATTGTACACAAGGCACAGTCAGCGTGCCAGAACGTCTACGGGAGCAAACGGCAGCGCTCAGTGTGCCAAAACTACACTGAAGACATTGCGGAAATTAGACACTGCGGAAATTAGAGCACTTGAGCATTTTTTGTATTTTTTTATATATATATGTATATATATAGACAAAACAATACAATCAATAATTTGTAAATAGTGATATATATATCACTATTTAGAAATTATTGATTGTATTGTTTTGTCCATTGGGCTCTATAGCGATATGTGTGTAATCTGACATGAATGTAGATGAATATAACTACTAGACTGAAATCAAAGCAGTTGAAACCAACCAGTATTCAAATCGATGGAGATGGTTGGTTTTCAAAAAAACTATTTCAATGCAATCATTTCAGTAAATATCCATTAATGACAACATCTAAGGCGAAGGGGTTAAGTTCCTGCTATCATCAGCCAAGAAGTGTAATATGATGAGTGTTACAGGCCACAGGGATTTATCATGCTAGGACTGTTAACATGAGCAAATTACTTTGACACTGAACTATCTTTTGGAATGTTGCAGCTGTGACATGTGCGGTAGATGTGAGGGGCATCATGTGCACACAGCCCCTCTTTGTTCAGGGGGATATGAACTCACCAGGGGCCAGGAATCAAAGCTTGTTGTATTATTTGTTATTGGGGAGAAAGAGCTCATGCAAAATAGAGCAGGCCACCGTCTCTGTCACAAAGTGATGGTCAATAAATAAACTTGTTTTCTGTACAGTTTTCAATCAGACACTGATACAACAGATCTGTTAACACCGGCTCTTGGAATCTTATTTCATCAACAATGTGCAGTGCCTTCAATCCTAATAACATACCCACTGTCCCTGCCTGCCATCTCCAGATTCATATGAAGCACAGGTTGAAACCTGGTCTTATGAATTGGGGAGGGGGGTGTCGGTCCTTCTCTCGACTAAACTCCAGTTTTATACACCAGTCATTTATAACACACTTTTCATCATGTCACAGATCCGACAACAGATTATTCTAAATACATTAACTTGTTGGTGATCACATTAGGAATGTTCACACATGATCTGCACACACTGTCTTTAGGAGACACCGAGGCTGGAGCCCGAACAGACCTGTATGACACCATGTGGTGGTTTATATCTGTCAGTTCCTTCTCAATCAATGAACCAGACTGCTGCTCTGGATCTCTGGATGTTCCTTCATCACCATCAAAATACACTCTTCTTTCATATGTGGATTCATGGACAGCCTGACTCATTTTTAGCAGCAGTTCTTTTCGCTGCCTTACATATCTTAGAACTAAACTGTAGTGGGGAAACCAAAACTGAACAGAACTGGCTTCTTTTCTATTGGTCTAAAATATATATGATGCACTGGCTTTAAAAGACTGGAATCAGCCAATAAAATGGACGCCATTTGCACAACATAAATGCTCCAAAGCACCAAAAGTCTCCCCATAAAATAGCAGGGAAGGGACATCAGCCCTCTGACTGGAAGCCTGGTTCTTATTTACAGGTTAGTCAACCATCTTAAATTCAATAAGATTTTTACTTTTAATTTTGTTAGTGTCATTCCATCCTGCATTCTCTGGTACACCTGGTGATATCTGGACATCCAATTTGCACCAAACAATGTCACATGTCTCCTTTGAATGAAAAGTGGTATAATTGAGGTGGCACATCTATTTTGTCTTCAAACATATTACATAAATTAAAGAACCTTGTGACAAGCCTGTGAAGCTGTAGTTGAAGTCAGTGGGATCAAGTAGTTCAAGGGGCACTAGTCTGGACAGAGGTTGGTCTGGGTGTGTGTTTGGGCGTGTATGGGTAGGCGCCCCCCCACACACAGACAAAGGGCTCTTTTACTTCACTTCGTCAGACGGGCTCGTAGATCTGGCACCTGGAAGCAGCGGTACAGGGGACGTGGCCTCAATGAGGGCGGGATTCAGGATGATTGGTAGCGACATGGGTGGGACTCCCACCTGCAAGGGGGATGCAAGGGGCTGCAGGATGAGTGGTGACTGGCTCAATGGTGAAGGAGCCTGGAGAGGGGACGTTGTATATGGCACGGAGGGAATCGAGGGTGGCATCGGAGACGAGCAATCAGATCCTAGAAAACACAAAGGAGAAATCAGAATTGAGCCGAGGAAGTTGTCCAAACCTCAGAAGGTCATGTGGGGCAGTCTCAGGACCTCTTGAGCTTTTGCGCCCACTTCAGGCATATTTGTTTCACAATGTGCGCGTAAAAGCATGGCATGGTATGTATGAACAAGCGACACTGAGGTAAAAGCACAGCTCAGTTGTGAATGTTAGTCTTTCGGGGGGGAAAGAGGATGCGTAAAGTGCGCCTAATTATGTATTCCACGGTACGTGAAGAAACCTCATCAGCAGTGGGAATATCGCAGTCGACACTCAGCTGTATCATAGTATTTCACGCTTTGCTACAGTCATTACATACATTTCACTACCCCTAATGTCCAAATAACACATCAACTTTGTTGTCACTGAATTTTTGTTTTCGCTGTTTTGACTTTGGCTGATCGATGATAGAAAGAGAAGGAGGCCCATTCACTTCCACGTTTAATGCTTGCAATGTACGGTATAGTGGGCAGAGAAAGGCGCTGATTACCTGATGAGTTGCAATTACACAAATACAACGTAAGCTAAAGTATCAGAGTGTGCTTTCTGCGCGTTGCCCATGGCGCTGATAATGCTATATTTACAAATGTACATACATGAGGGCCTCAGGGTTCTATTCCACCAATCAATGGATGGTGTGCGTGTTGAGATGCGACTGTGCTGGAACCCGTCAGTTTTACCGTGCACACCGGCTGGTTTGGGTTCCTGGGGTGAAGCCGGCCGGCTCGGGTGCCGTGTCTCTGCAGGGTTAAATGGGGAGGTTGGCTGAGCAGGGGGCAAAGATCCCTGAGGGGATAAAGGCCGACCTTCTGAGGGGGTCGGCTGCACAGGCTCTGCTGGAGGATTGGGTATTGGCTCTAAAACGAAGATGGTTCACGGGAAACAACAGTGTCAAGTTCCTGGTACCATCACAAACTGCCGAGGTTTTGCATCAAGCTGTTCCATCCCTACACCTCTGGATGTCCGATGAGTAATGTAATGAGTACCTGGTATAACAGTCTGTTTGAAAAGCTCCTCCCGAAGGTGAGGCAGGAAGCACACTATCCGTTCCCAGGTTATCTCCCAAAGGTCTGAGTATCCTGTCCTGGAGTCAGCGCTGTGGAAGATTCCTGCCGTGTCCATCACCAGCAGCATGTTCTTCAGGGACTCAGGGATGGCTTCCAACTACACAACCACAAGCAGAGGCAGCAAATCATCAAGCTCCAAGACTTGGTCACTAAGTACTAGACCTGAAACCTTGGTAGACATCCTCCTTCTTCTTCCACATTTGGTGGTCTTTACATTTCTTGATAACTTGAGAAGGTTAGAGGCTCCTGCCGCCCTGTTTACACCCAATGATTACAGAGTTGCCACTGCTAAGAGTTACAGTACAACACTGGATGTTAGTAGTAGCACTATTCTTACCAACAAGTCACTGGAACCTGCATGCATGTACTTGTCCATGAAATCCAGAATTGTGAGCCAGAGGGCAGCAAAGGTAGGCAGGGACAGCAGAGGAGACAGGTGCTGGAGGAAGACCTGCGCCCATGGAAAACAAGCACACACGATTAGTCAGAGGTGCTGCTCAGCTGTAGGAGGGAAAGTAGTGTCTACATAGCCACCCTACACCTCACATTAGTAGGATTAAAACACTTTGAGGTATGTTCCCCTTTGTTTGAATGACCTGCGCCTGAGGATAACACTTGATCAGTTGAAATGTTTTGTGACCAAACAACTCAGTCTGCAGTTATTTTTCACACATCACATTATTATTAATTATTATCATCATCATCATCATCATCATCATCATCATGGTATAGTTAGTGTTCTCCGTCAACACCAATTCAAACGGGTTATTATATAAGTTATATGTCATTATCACTTGCTAAATTAATATATGATAATCATGTTATTAATCAACCATTTTACTACTAACAAACTGATGTGTACAAAGTAAAGTTCTTGTGTGTGTGGGTGTGTGCTGCAGTGTGTGTTGTTTAAACCTTTGACAGGAGGGTGCAGGCTCTCATTCTGGTCTCCTCCATACCGCCCACATCAGCTGGGCTTATATTGTCAAGCAGCTTAGTCAGGAGGGGGAAAAGCACCTGTAAACGCAGACAGACAGACAGACAGACACACATCAGGATGTACTTCACATATAAGGATTTGGATTATACTATTCAATGCACTAGCACATTTTGATTGATTGATAGTGCTCCTTCTTTCTGACCTTGTTGAAACAGGACTCCCACTCAGTGGCATCCAGTGTCTGCAGATCATGGACCAGCAGCGCCCTCTGGAGGTAGGTGAGGGCCTGCATACGGACCTGACGTCTGGCATCACAGCACAGCCAAGCTATGCCTTGAGTGGGCAACCATACGACAGACATGAGCTGCATGCATGCATCCGCCATCTCTCATCAATCCCTCTGGATCTCCTCACAAGCAGATACAAGCATATTATACCGGTTCCAATGGTATAAGATTTCCGTACGGTACGAATTTCTCGCGTATTGCTTGGAAGGCAGCAAAATTCATTTTTACACGTCATCGAGGAGCGCCTAGCGAATGGAGATACTTGTCTCACGTGGGTTGAGATTGAGTCATGGTTATAACTTTATACCAACAATGAATAACCTACAACAAACACTCTTTAACAGGGTAAAACACCACAACACAACAGCTTGTGACACATAAACAATTTTTAACACTAATAAAAAATGACCCCGCCGAACTGCATGCTGGGTACAGCTCACAACAAGAAGTAACTCTGGTGGTATATGTAAAACTTAAAACTTTCCTCTTTGATTCTGCCTATAGTTATGGCTGGCTCAGGTTAGCCCAGACCAGCCCTTAGTTAAGCTGCTATGCTTAGACTGCCGGGGGACTTCTTAGGACACACCAAGCTCCTCTCTCACGCTCCTGTTCTACAATAATTCACGTTTGATTAATGCACATGACTAATTCAGCTTCTTTCCGGGAGTGTTTTGTGCTTTCTCCCCTATCAGGTCTCCGTAGATCGTAGTTCCTTCTGGACCCTGGTCGTGACACCTGCCGTGGCCCTGCTGACGCCTGCTGCTGCCATCATCATCATCATTATTATTTTAAATATTAATTATATTACTGTACTCATAAACCAACATTACCCTCTCCTAAAGTCTTTGTGCTCTCCCTCCCCACAGGCTTCTGTGGATGGTGGTTCTATCTGATGGTGGTTGCCCCTGCAGTGGTCCTGCTGTGCGCCTGGCTTACTACTCACAATTACTTGAATCATTTCTGTCATAGGAATTGAATGTATTATACATTGTTCATTCTGTACACATGGCATCCATTGTAGTCTGTCCATCCCGGGAGTGGGATCCCTCCTCTGACTGTAAAGCCCTCTGAGGCAAATTTGTAATTTGCGATTTTGGGCTATACGAAATAAAATGAATTTAATGAATTTAATTGAAATTGAATTGGTATATGAAAACGCGGAAAAGAGCGATACAGGAGGAACAACAAGAGACCAGAGATGCACCTTGTGCCCAAGAGAGGAGCCGTGTCTGGGTTTTTGGTTTTGGACAATCCGGCCTAAATTACTTAGATCAGAAAACAATATATGTATATAGTATAGGTCTGTCGAGCCTCTGGTGGCAACACTAGAAGCCACACCGAGCTAACACGCAAACAAGCTAACTCGCCGACCAGTTACGAGCAAGTTGGCCAGCGAACAGCTGTTCGGGTAGCCGGCGTCCTTTTTGGGGTCAATGAATTAATGTGAATTAACTCAAAAAAGCTGTAAATGACAACAGACTGAAGTTGATAAAAGTCAAAGTAATTCTTCTGGTGAATTACAAATTACAGAGACTATCCCCTAGACGAGAGTTATGTTGCTAAATACACAAAATACATGCTAAATACATACACAAAAATACAAATCGGAAGAAAAAACTTTCATAACACGTTTTTGCTTAATGTGTGTGTTACTGTGTTTATGATCTGAAATGATTGTATTTGATCTGCAATAAATGACAGCTTCAAAAGTAAAAAGGTCATCAAAAAAACATCACATTTAAAACTGCACTGCAGTACCTTTCAGATATTCCTGCCTATTGTGACTGTGGCCTACCTTGTAGCAGGGGGCACCAGCAGCTGGTCCACAGAGTCTGGGAGTCGGCCTCAATCTTCCTCCCGGCAGCCTCCAGGTGCCGCTGCTCCTCTGCCCAGGAGCTGTAGATGCTAGCAGCCCGAGTGTGCAGGGTGTGCATCAGGTCCAACAGCTGCACACACCAACGACAAAGTTAACCATAACAGCATGTATGGCTCATATATGGTTGTGGAAGCTAAAAAATTGGGATTGGGAATTTTAATACTGTATATTATGGACATTAAATGCTATTGCTGCAGTTGCTTCCAACTAATTAAGTTTGACAGCTGCATGCATCAAAATGTAAAATGATGTTCCAAAAGGCAGCTTTAAAAATTAACAACTATATTTCACTGAGCAGCTGTCTTTCACTTCAGTGCTGCATGGACAATAAATCCATGTGTGGGGGAAAGAGGAGTCTGGGCTCTAATGGGAATATGGTATAAGGGTAGAGAGTGCTGTGGTACTTACGTCCTGACTAACCTGTAATGCCACTGTGTGGTAGCTGGCCGGGACGCCCTCGTCCTCCTCATCGTCGCTGTGGGGACGGGATGGACGCTGATTGGGCGCCCTGCTGCCACCTCGCCTCGTCCCCCCTCCGCCTTCTTTATCCCTTCCCCCCGCCTTCCTTCTCATCCGGGACTTGGAGGAGTCATACTTGTGGCTCTTCTTCTTGTCATGGTTGCGATAACCTGAAGAAGCAAATCATTGAAAGGGAAAACTAGAATTACTGCTTTGGAGTTGTATGCCTCTCAGTACCATACAGTCACGGTACAGTTTGGGTTTGTGAACAATAGCATCAGTTAATTATTTTTACTAGGGCTGTCAACAAAAGCGCTAATCTGGGATTAATGTGGCCAAGATTAATGTAAACAAAATTTTAACGTAGTTAACGTAAATTTGTTTACTTCCGTTGTTGACCACGGAAACGAAACAGCCGCTAGCTTCAGTCAGTTACATCAAGATGGCATTTGTATTGGAAGTAAAACAGAGGCGCAGCATACAGTGGAGAACTCTGCAGAGGAATTTCTCCACGTGTCAAACAGAAGGCGGGTGAGTGGCAAACAGAGCATTTAAAGTACTGCGAGGCTACTTCCATCTCAGCATCTAACGTTACCCTGCACGGCACACAGTCTGAGGACCACCACTGTGTCCCTAAAAGACCGTGGTTTGAAAACATTCTGGCTAAATATAGGGAGATTGTTGCCACTTCAAATACAGTGATTAAATTAATTAGAGTTCAGAGCGAAGTTCCACTTTCCACCTGGTGGAATTCTGCCTCCAAGATGATCAAATGTGTGTGGTTCTGTGTTTAAAATAACATTCGCAACTAAACAACAGTGTCTAAAATACATGCTTCCTAAAGTGATTACTCATTACTTTTAAGATTTAGTCTTTAGAAGAAAAACAATTCATTAATAACAACATTGCTACAACAACAGTCATGAATCGCCAATAATCAAGATTAATGAATTTCATATTGTGCGATTAATTAGGTAATTTAATCTTCTGACAACCCTTTGATGCTATCTGACACTGGTTAATAGGGGTGTAACGATTCATTTTAATTCAGTGACTTGAACCTGAAATCGATTCAGTAACTTCACTGGACAGTGCAGGCAAAGTTTCTTGTAAGGAAATCTGGTTTAAATTAATTATGGATATTATAAACAAGCAAACAGCAATTAATGGCAAATGTATTAACCTTTTATTTGAATCAAGTGCCATTTTCAATGTAAACATTACACAATAATTACACAATGTTTGGATCAATTCACAGAACCCCGGATTTTCAACCACATTGTAGAGTCGCATGTCTTTACAGATAAACTTGGCAATTGTTACTGTGATGTTGAGTTTTGTGCTGGCGAGGCCTGAGGTGTCTGCAGAGCTGGAGTTACCTTCAGCTGCTGCTGCAGCGGTGACGCTGCTAGAGGTGCCTGACTGTCGGCGTTGTTTAATCCCACGGCGCCTTAGTAGATGGCCGGAAAGATTTGTCTCGTTTCCGTGTTTTTTTTATTTGGCTTCGACATATTCTACAAACAGCGACCGACTTATTTAGCAACTCCGTGTTGGCAAAAGCCAAAATGTTTCCACACGCTGGATCGATAAGTTGGTTTGTAAATGTCTCGCTCGCAGTCGTCTCCTCCACGCTGTGTTTTGTTGTTGTTCAGAGTTTCGCGCGGCTGCCGCTGCGTACTGATGACGTCACAGACAGGCAGACTGAATCCAGTAACGTTTAACGTGTCTAGAGTGCTAAAAAACAAACACACACACACACACACACACACATCCATACCGTTTTTGTGCTTAAATACAATGTGCAGTTTCCAAGTATCGATACAAATCTATTATGTACCATTTCAATCGATTTGTAATCGATATATGTCGTCCTGAATGCCGATTTGCGGAGCACAGATCGATTCAGTTGGATCGCAGGAATATAAATCGATTAATCGATTCAGTGGATGAATCGTTACACCCCTACTAGTTAACACATGAATCTGTAAATTAATGGGCGTGCGGTGGATGGTGGAAGGTAAATGGTAAATGGACTGTACTTGTATAGCGCTTTTCTAGTCTTCCGACCACTCAAAGAGCTTTAACACTACATGACATCATTCACCCATTCACACCCATTCATACACTGATGAGAGGAGCTACCATACACAGTACTACCTGCCCATCAGTAACTAACATTCACAACCCTCTGATTGGAGGACGACTGTGCTCACCACTCACCTCCAGTCGGGAAAGGAGGGAGAGGGCAAGGGTTAGCTGGTCTATTAGCATTTAGACCTGAAACAGGTCTTTTCGAGCAGAGCTGTTTTAGCCAGGCTGAAAGGGTGCCGTTACCACAAAGAACCATACCAACTGGTGGTAAAAGGGCATAATATGGCTTATTTAATACAAATGTAATTGAAAAATAAACAGGGACTTTACACATTAGGACCAGAGTTCATTATTGGGGGGGGATGACTACCTCAGCAGATAATTAAGTCTTTCTCTCTCTATCCTTTTTGTGTGTGTGTGTTTTAATACACGTTAGTGCATGTGCCTTGTAGTACATGTTAGTGCCTATGAGCGTGTCTTTTAGTACATGTTAGTGCATGTGAGCGTGCCTTTCAGTACATGTTAGTGCCTATGAGCGTGTCTTTTAGTACATGTTAGTGCATGTGAGCGTGCCTTTCAGTACATGTTAGTGCCTATGAGCGTGTCTTCCAGTACATGTACTTCCAGTAATCCGCCTTTTTTTGTACACAGTGTTTATTATTTTAACTATGTTGTTTTTAGCCATGTGTTTGTCATACTATATCGTGTCTGTGCTGTTTGTCACTTGTGTGGACTGTGCTACTGCCTCTTGGCCAGGTCATCCTTGTAAATGAGAATTTGTTCTCAATGAATATTACCTGGTTAAATAAAGGTCAAATAAATAAATGTTAGTGCATGTGAGCATGCCTTTTAGTACATGTTAGTGCATGTGAGAGTGCAAGTTCTTAGTAGTATGGGCTCCCTCTTCTTTTCGAATCAACTTGCGTTGATGCAAGGTATCTCTCTTTTCCGGACTGACTTTGGTCAGTGTAAGGATGAGACAACAGAGCCTCTTCCAATCCCTTTCCTGACTGGCCTCAGGATCAAGCATTCCGGCCTCTCCATCTCAAACCATTTTCTAGCTGCTCCAGAGAAGTCAGGCTCCCCCAGTCCTCACTTCCAGCCCAAGCAGCTCACAAAAAAGGAATACTTCTAACCCCTTGAATACAACTTGCGTGTTAAAGAGCACCCACAACTTTTGTGCCACTTTAGATATTTTAGACATCTCACCTCCATTCAGGCTGGCCTCCACAAACACTCGTATGGCTCGGACACACAGCTCAAAGTTGTCAGGGGTGACGTGGGCAGCGTCCCGGACAATAAACGAGAGCGTCTCTACACACTTTATGAGAGACTTGGTATCGTGCTGGCCCAAGTCCTGACCCAGTGTCAGACTGTACTGGTTGACCAGTGGGTGATTCAACAGGGCTTTGGAGTTTGCTTGAGTGGTCTTACTCATCTCCACGTCGTCTTTCCCAACCTGGACCAAAGTACAAAATACACACACACATATATATATGCATCAGAGTTTGATTAAAGAACTATACAGATATAATTTCTTCTGAAGGTTAAAGTAGGTAATGAAAACGCCACTGACGATGTGTGAGTGACTGTGTACAATATACACTGTCTTGCTGCTCATCATTCAGGTATTCTGTAAGTTTGTGTGTGTGTGTGTGTGTGTGTGTGTGTGTGTGTGTGTGTGTGTGTGTGTGTATGTACAGTGCCTTGTTCACCCCCATTTTTAACTATTACAACTGGAATTCAAATAGACTTATTACATACTTGATCAACACAACAGGCATTGTAAATATGCAAACTTTTATGTAAACTTTTCCCCGACTTTCAGATGGACTATTTTGTGTTGGTCCATTATATAAAATCCCAATTAAATACATTTGAGTCTGGGGTTACACCATGACAAAATGTGGAGAAGTGCAAAGGGGGGGGGGGGTCAATACTCATGCAATGCACTGTATGTGGGTATATTTGTGTATGTGTGAGTGTGTGTGCTCACCACAAGCCAACCACTGGTTGCTACATCCCCATCTGTTGTGGAGCGGGGGATCCTGGTCTTGCTATGGTGCTCGGTGTAGATCTCTGAGTCAGACGTGTAGCCCCGGTCTAAACTCACTTCACTAACATGATGGGACGGCAGCTCGCTGTCTGACTGGGCTCCTGGAGAGACAAAGCACACCATTATATTCATATTTTCTCAGACACTTAAGACAAGACTAAAATGTGCTTTAATAAATCAAAAATAACTCTCGGGACAATTGCTGAACTGTTTTGAGGGACAACACCAACTAACTGTGAACTCAAAAAGGACATATTTGAATGCAAAGCTTCAGGATTGCATTGACAAACAAGAGAAATGTTAGGGACCACACACTCATTAGAGAATTATTTGCAACCATCACAGTGCTTGTCCAGCAGTTTGTCTTTAGGCATTAAAACCCATTTCCCCCCTTATCATCACCAGAAACAAGAAGGAGAGCATCTGGGAACTACATGCATTTACATATTTTATTTACTCGAACTGTTCAACAGTATTTTTTAGGGAACTTTTGTTGGGGTTTTAAGTAGAAGTGAATGTCTAGTCATAGAATTTATAGTACGTGTAATAATGTTTAGTGATAGAATTATAGTTTGTGTGATGTTAGATTAGTTATTACATTAATATGTTAGATGAAGTGAATGCAATTTGAATCAAACACAGTTTATAGTCTTTTAAATCGTATAAACAATCTATACATTAACATTCGACTACAATGTGATGTTAAAACCTGGGGACGGATGCCAATTGCCGTCCTTTATGGATTTCTCCCAATAGTCGATTAATTTGGGGGTTTTTGGGAGTTTTTTCTCCTGTCAGGTAATAAATGAACAACTTAAAGTAAGGCAGCCAACTGGGGCAAATGTCTTGAGAATTGAACCACATGAACTGTCTTAGATCTATGATGAAGTGTGATGAACGGGGATCATTAATGATGGGTTGTTGTAATTAAAGTGTACTAGTTATAAGATGAAGTCTTAAACGATGTATGCTTTGTTAAATTCACTCATTGAGGCATAAAGCCAACTGAATCTACATTGAGTGCATTGGAATGTGAGGGACAGATAGTACAGTGAGGTTTCAGGTTACAGCTGCAGCTTCACACCTCGACGTGGAAGGGACAATGCAGGAGGGGAACCTTTGAAGAAGAAGCCAATGACATTCAAATGCACCAAGGAAGACACACCTCAAGAGTTTTCAAAGGACCAAAGCGGGGAAAGGACTGTTAGAATTTTCCTGCAGCCGCTTTGATAAGTCACTTTAGACTTGCTCAGAGAATTCTCTGTTTCGCGAAATATTCCACTGTTCGCTTTGTATTTCACTTTGTAATTGTAATCCTGATTACGTTGTTTAGTCATTAAATACTTTTTGATTTTTGAATTTAAACAAATTGACTCATTCGTATCCTCGTTTCCGGCCGGGACGAGAACAAAGGAGTGAGGCCTCCCTCGAGAGCTTTCCTGAAACCCTTAACACTTTATATTATATTTCCCACAGTACTAGAAGTGCAATGGTGGGGAGATAGTGAATTCTTCATTTGTTTGCTTGAAAGTAGTAGAATATTAGCTGTACAACGTAAACTTTCCACGTGAAGAACATCTGCAGATATTGAGACACCTGCCCATCAGGACTAGGTAATCATTAAAATGTCAATCAACTGAATGAAGAACGGCATTCTTTGGTGGTTATTTAAATCTAATCAGGTCAACCTGAGGATTTAGAGAGAAATATTGCACCTGTGTCATTGTCATTAGGGGGGGAGGAGAGTTGAAAGGAGGCAGGAGGTTTCACTCCAGCCCCGATGCACTCCAGCAGGGAGAAGAGCGTGAACCAGTCGTTTGTACTGTGGATGTTGGCTGCATTGGTCTTCAGCAACTCATGGAGGCCAAAGGCCACCTGCCGACTGACCCGTGACAATACAGGAGGTTTCATCATTAGCAGGAGGCGGAGGGAAAGGAGAACCTGCGGGTGTACACATGGAGAAAGAAGATCAGGCCTGGAATATATATATATATTTTTTTTTAATTCACAAATATTACAAATACTTTACTAAGTGGAAATGTATTTTGAAAAAACTATATTTATTTATATGTAATATATCCATTGTTCTGACATAATTCTGTATCATTTAGAGAATTTAGGCTTTATATAGTATTGCAATTTCAAACACTTCAAAACAGAGTTTACTTGAAAGCGTGTTATGTGAACTGCTCACACTCATTCATTGGCTAGCTTACTGAACACCATGCTCCATTCTGCTGTTACAATTTCAATTCTTCTGACCAATAATAGACCAGGAGGTGAGCACCAATCAATGCACATGCTTGCTCAAAAAGTAAATAAGAAAAAGGTGATAGAATTCACTGAAGCAGTTGTGAGTCAAAGGCTGAGCAGAGTCAGCATCTCAGCTGCAGACGCTGGCGGATTTTGACTTAATAGAAGCATTCCATTCAAACAATCCCTTAAAGTCCAAGCGTCGGACTTTGGATGTTAACTGACTTTTCAGTCTGACCCCTGTGGCAGTCAGCTGATCTGAGAAGATTATCTCAGCGAGTAACATCACAGTGTGCAGTAGTGTTTTAGTCTAGGCACACGTGTGTGTGTTGCAGTACCTCAGAGCTGATGTCTTCGCGCCGTAGCAGGCGGATTGCCAGCCTAAAGAGTCCCACCACAGCCCTCTCTACCAGGAAGCAGCTCTCATTGGGGTACACACAAAGATGACAGAGATGGTCTCGCACCGTCTGCCACACACAGGACACACGGTCTCTACACACACACACACACACACACACACACTTAGATAGCACCTCAGAATTCTGGGAAGATATAATTGACAGATTAGTCATCCTACCGGTTCTCCAGAGTAACACGCAGCAACATCTCCAAGCAGAAGGCAGCATCTTCCTCATCATAAGTGTCTTCATCTGGTGCGACTGATATCAAAGCCTAAGAAGGATTTTGATTAGGTTGTCTTTATGATGGAACCATGGGATAAATGCCATTTATTCATACTTTCCTAAACTAACACCAATACAGAGCAAGACAAGAGCTATATGCAGTGCCTTGCATGAGTATTCAACCCCATGGACTTTTCCCCATTTTGTACTGTTACAAACTGGAATTCAAATAGACTTAAATATACTTTGATGCGTGGTACTTTGAAAGTGCAAAATACCTTTTACTGTGACACAAACAATAATGAGAACAAAAAAGTTAACATCTGTTGGATGCTTAAGTATTCACCCCTCCCTGAGTCAATACTTGGTAGAACCCCCTTTCACTGTGATTACAGCTGCATGTCTTTTGGGGTTCGTCTCCACCATCTTTACACATCTTAGAGATGTTCTAGAAATGTTCGTCCACAGCAATTTTCAAATCTTCCCATGGATTCTTAATTGGATTGAGGTGTGTGCTTTGACCGGGCCATTTTAAAACATGAACGTGCCGGTATCTAAACCATTCTATTGTAGCTGGGGCTGTATGTTTACGGTTATTGAACTGCTGGAAGATGAACCTCCGCCCCAGTCTCAAGTTTTCTGCAGACTACATCATATTTTCTTCAAGGATTTCCTTGGATTTAGCAACCTCCATTTTTCTCTCATTACGACTAGTTCCCCTGTGCCTGCTGCAGAGAAGCATCCCCACAGCATGATGCTACCATCACCATGTTTCGCTGATGGGATGGTGTGCTCAGAGTGATGGGCAGTGTTTGGTTCCCACCACACAGCGTTTTGCAATTAGGCCCATTCACTTCTTCACATGTTCGTCGTGTCTCGCACTTGGCTTGTGGCAAACTCCAAACAGGATTTCTTATGGTTGACTTGTAAAGATTGCATATGTCTGCCTCTCTATAACGGCACTAGTAAGGGAGAACATCTGGTTGTTTATTTTCTTTTACGATTTAAGTACTGTATTGGCAACATTATTGGCGGCCTGAACAAGGACACGGGTACATTTTACTTTAGCGTTGTGCTTTTATCCCTTTAAGTTAAACCGGAGGGGGAATTGTTACTTTCAGTAGCGGCTTTCTTCTTGCCACTCTTCTGTAAAGGCCAGATTTGTGGAGTACACGGCTAATAGTTGTCCTGTGGAAAGATTCTACTCCTCAGCTATGACTCTTTGCAGCTCCTCCAGAGTTCCCATGGGCCTCTTGGTTGCTTCTCTGATTCATCTTCTCCTTGTCTGGCTGGTCGGTTTGGGTGGATGGCCTTCTCTTGGTAGGTTTGCGGTTGGGCCATATTCTTTCAATTTTGTGGATTTTATTTATTATTATTTCTTTTTACTAATTATGTGACTTGTAAATATGACTTGTGAAGGCAATTGGTTGCAGCTGCTGAAGGGAGGTGAATACATATGCACCTTCCAGATTTTTTATGTAAATCATTTTGAAATCCATGTAAACTTCCTCCCAATTTACAGATGATTGACTATTTTGTGTTGCTCCATTACATAAAATCCCAATAAATAAAATTTAAATCTTTGGTTATACCATGACCAAACTTAGAAAAGTCCAAGGGGGTGATACAGTAAATGTTGAAAAGAATGATAGAATGAAGAAATAATACTAACCTTCATTAGCTCCTGTAGAGACTCCAGCTGAAGAAATTTACTCTCTGTGATCAGCTTTTCTGGGTCACATTGCTAGTAGGAGACAGAAATTACAGTGATGTTGACATAACCTTATAATTGTGAAACTGTTGTGTGATTGTGAAATCTGAACACGTGATGAACATGAAGTCATGAAACAAAACCACAGAATTATTTTTGAAAAGATTAGAAAAATATACGGTGACGTTTTAATTTACTTGCAGTAGTTATTTTTATTTCGTTTATATATATATGATCTGCCGACCGGGTCTTAAAGATAGCGTGAGAAGCTCAGCCATTCGTGAGGAGCTCAGAGTAGAGCCGCTGCTCCTTTGCGTCGAAAAGGAGCCAGTTGAGGTGGTTTGGGCATCTGGGAAGGACGCCCCCTGGGCGCCTTTACTTTACTGAACATGATTAATCAGAACTTCAGATCGTGTTTACTGAGCAGTACCTTTATGCAGAGGATGGCTGCCTGCTTGGCCTCCTGGTTTTCCGTGGACGGTCCTCTGAGTCCTGACTGCTCGGCTCCACTCAACGTAAACCAGTTAACAAAACTCAACACTGCCGACTCACCGCTGACATGCAACAAAGGACACATCTCAGTTATACTCTTGGCTCTTATGGTCAAGATTTTAAAAAATATATACATTTTATTATTATAGAAAGCTGTTCTATTCTTCAAGGATTTAAATACTATATTATGAAAGAAATAAATGAATATGGCTGGAACGATGACACAAACCAACAGCAGTGAAGCCATATCTGGAGGAACATTCTAGACAACATTTCCCATTAGCTTCTAATGATGAGATGTGCCCATACCGGTTAGAAGGTGTTTCCTCTCTTTGAAGAGATATCTTCCCACTGGGCTCCACAAAATCCTCCACCTGAAGCAACAAGCATAGTATTTGAGCAGTGAACAGTAGATGGCAGCACAACTTGTAGGAAGCACTCTCTGTCTACAAGCCACAGTATGGAGTGTTTTGTAGTCCTTACCTCTACCATGGCTTTGGGCAGGAGCTTGGATCTGAACAGCTGTAGCATGGAGTCCATGATGTTCTTCCAGCCCTCCCTCAGGATGTCGCCGTGCCGATGGGCAAGGTCAAACACAGTTTTGGCTGCTGTCTGTGCTTTGTTATTGCTGCCAAACACTGTAGGAAGGTTTTCCACAGACTTCACAGAGAGGGGAAACACCAACACCCAGTTAACAGACATTCTGACACACACAGGGTCTATATATGTACTAATAATGATTCAGGTACACGAGAGGATTTCGTTTGTCATTTAATTCACTCACTTATTGTAGATGTTAGATATATTTCATTAGATCTTTTTTAATCATACTCTTACTTACTCCAGGAGGAGCCTACACTTGTCACACCATGATATATTTCATGCCATTACAAAGACATATGTGTGTGTACGTATTACTGTATACTAGCATTTAAACAGTAGCAGTTACCTTCTACAGCGGAAAGCGTTTTGCTGCACCAACATTGTACCAACTTAATACAAATACAGTAGTAACATGACAATTTAGTATGAGCTTTGTATAAGTATTGAGGATATTTTGCCAACATATATATTTATCTGTTTGTTCCCATGTGAAACATGTTTTGAAAGTTTGATATCCAAGTGATATATTGGTGACACAACATGCTACTGTGGTCCGCTTTCTCTGTGAGGCCCTCACCTCACTGCTCAGAGTGGTGAACTTGCAGAGGGAGATGATCAAATTGTCAAAAACATCACTGAAGCCGTAGTGAGCTGCAATCATGGCACACTTCCTGCAACAACAGAAACACTTATGATAACACCTTACACACAGAATAACAGATTTAGCTGCTTTATATTTCAGTTATACAACTCTGGTCTACTGGTCAATATGGGTACTTTTATACCATCTCACCCAAACTTAACTGCTTGATGCTTACTTCCCTGACCAATCTACAGACTAGAAGAGAACAACAGCTAGATTTCTGTGGATACTTAAGTAAACATGAGACAGAGCATTCCTCACTTTAGAAATAAGAAGCAGTTTTCATCTGATCAGGCTCAGGATGAGCTTGATCCTCAGTACCTACTCCGTAAACACTGCGGTTGGTCGGACAACAGAGAAGACATGGTCATTTGAGGTTCAAAGCATTGCTTAGGGACGGTTGGAAACGCGACATAAGTAGCCAGGGATGAAGTGGCTCTCGTGGTCGCAGCAATACCTAGTCCTTATTCAGTGAGGCTGCGTGACACAAAGACTACTTTTACTACTAGTAGTACTACAACGGCTATTACTAACACTACTTCTAGTATTTCTACTGCTATGAATACTAATAATTACTAGTACTACAACTGCTATTACTACTAGTATTACTATTGCTGTTAATAATAAAACTAGCTATTATTCTTACAAACTATTACTACTACAACCATTAGTAGTACTAAAATTAATACTACTAGTAGTATAGTAATTGTACTACTACTACTATTACTACGCTGCAGCCTGCCCTTGTCCTTGGCTGTTGCTGCAGCGTACCAGATGATGGACTCGATGATGGCCGTGTAGAAGTGCACCATCATCAGTGGCAGGTTGAATTTCTTCAGCTGCCTCAGGAAGAACAACCTCTGCTGAGCCTTCTTGGTGATGGAGCTGATGTTCAGCTCCCAATTGAGGTCTTGGGTGAAGATGGTGTTGAGCTCCAAGTTGTTTTGGCTGCACCACGTCACCAGATGGTCAGACTCCCACCTGTAGGCGGACTCATCCCCACCAGAGATCAGTCCAATAAGGGTGGTGTCATCCGCAAACTTCAGGAGCTTGACGGACTGGTGACTGGAGGTGCAGCTGTACGTGTACAGGGAGAAGAGCAGAGGTGAGAGAACGCAGCCTTGGGGGGAACCGGTGCTGATGGTCCGAGAGGCTGAGACATGTTTCCCCAGCTTCACATGCTGCTTCCTGTCAGACAGGAAGTCAGTGATCCACTTGCAGGTGGAGTCGGGCATGTGCAGCTGAGACAGTTTGTCCTGCAGCAGAGACGGGATGATGGTGTTGAAAGCGGAGCTGAAGTCCACAAACAGGATCCTGGCATCAGTTCTTGGGGAGTCCAGATGCTGGAGGATGAAGTGGAGGGCCATGTTGACTGCATCGTCTACAGACCTGTTGGCTCGGTAAGAGAACTGCGGTGGGTCCAGGAGGGGGTCAGTGAGGGTCTTCAGATGGGACCATTCAAAAGACTTCATGACTACAGAGGTCAGGGCGACGGGCCTGTAGTCATTAAGTCTTGTGATCCTAGGCTTTTTGGGAACAGGGATGATGGTGGAGGCCTTGAAGCAGGCTGGTACGTGGCACGTCTCCAGGGAGGTGTTGAAGATGTCTGATCACCGGAGACAGCTGATCAGCACAATGCTTCAGGGTGTGGGGGAGACGGAGTCCGGACCGGCTGTCGTTGTTATAACTCACCCTGGTGCATGATGGTACACAGCTGTCCTCAAAGAAGCCAATGTAAGAAGTTACAGCCTCTATGAACTCATCCAAACTGTTGGTAGCAGTCCTGAAAACCTAGTCTGTGCAAGCACGCCTGAAGATCCTCCAGTGCCTCACTGGTCAACTTGAATTCGCTCAACACAGGTTTGCAAAACTTTAGTTTCTGCCTGATGGACCATGACGTGGTCAGAGTGTCCCAACGCAGCACGAGGGACGGCGTGATAAGCCCTGCTTACTGTGGTGTAACAATCCAGTGGGCTCTCCTCTCTGGTTAGGCATTTAATAAACTGTTTGTACTTAGGAAGTTCATGGCTGAGATATCCTTTGTTAAAGTCCCTGAGGACAATGGCGGAAGCCCGCCAGCTGGAGTGCGGAGTCCGGTATCGATCCACAGAGCCAGGTCTCCGTGAAGCACAAAACGGAGGATGCAGAAAAGTCTTTGTCTCTCCTCACTAGCAGCAGAGGAACCAAGTTCGGCCAGTTATTTGCACAGTGAGCGCACGAAAAAGATCCCTGGCAGCGGTGCGCGAGAACCACGCTTGCGGAGTCGCACCAACGAGCCGGCCCGTTTTCCTCTCCTACGGCATCTGACCGCGTGAGTAAAGGTAGCTTTGACAAGAATGTTCAGTAATTTCACAGAAGAAAGAAGAAAAGTAACCTCGTGAGCTCAACTCTGTAGAAAGCTCTGGAAATCCCAACAGAAAACTGAACTAACAACAAAAAAATAACCGCACCAAGGCTGCCATCCGCGCCGCCATGTTGTAGTAATTCTACTATTTTTATTACTGCTACTAACAGTACTAGTACTCCTATCTCTTCTATTATTAGTACTAAAACTATTGCTACTTCTTCTAGTGCTGGAACCAACAGTACCACAACTGCGACTACAGCTAATACTACTACTTCTATTACTAACACTATTGCAAATGCTATTTCTATGAATAATACTGGTGCTATAACTATTATTACTGCAACTACAAATACTAATACTACTGTTATTTCAACTGCTAGTATTGCCATTACAGCTATTGCTTCAACTACTTCTAATATTTTAGTTCTTTCAACTTCTAATGCTACTGCTAATATTACAACTACTACTACTACTACTAATGTAATTAATGTTACAAAAAACTACTAGTTATTTTACTGCTATAACTTTTGAGGATAAAATCGTTTGGCTACCATCTTCTCCTGTCCCAGAAAAATGTGCAGGGTTCATTGGGAATCTAGAACATTACATTTTCCCCCTCCCTCCTTACCACTTCAGCATCTGATTATTTTAAAGGTGTATACCTGAAGCCAGTGATGGCCTTCTGGATGATGTTCTCATCCAGGCTCTTGTCAAAGACGTAGGAGAGGGCGGCGATGGTGGGACCCCAGGTCATGGTGAACAAGTCATGGTCGTAGCTGCCGGGTGGCAGGTGGAGGAAAACCCCTTCGGGTGTGGCACCGCGGTGAAGAAGCACACTCCATACATAGTTCTCCTTGACTAAGCCTGACTGCTCATCTGGCATCACAATCTCCTCATTCCTGCAGAAGACAAACATCTCAGGTCAGGTCAAGTTATGAATTAAGAATGGGAGAACATTTGTCATTGACTCATATTGAACAACATTACTACGTTTGTCGAACACAAAACCTGCGTCATTCTTCAACTGGCTTACAAAATGGCAAAAGTTTGAACCAGAAACAATCTAATAGAGGAAAAAATAATCTAATCTTCTACATCTAACGGCAGATTTAGGTCAGGACTGAAACAATTGGACAACTGATGGATTTGCACAAAGTGAATTTGCAAAATTGAGATGATTCATCAATCATTTGGTTATTTATTTAACAACGTGGGCTTCAATTCTGATTTCCAGATGCCCTAATATTAAGATTTGATAAGGTTATAGAATGACTATCTATAGAGTATGTCCATACAATAATACATACATACATACAAATGTGTGATGGGAGCTTACTTGATAGCATTGTAGAGATCCTCCAACATGTCCTGGTCAAAGTCTTTATTTCCATTTACTCCTTTCAGATTTTTCTTGAATTGCTGTTTTAAAAAAAAAGCATTTTGTGGTTGAATAATCTGCCATATTCCTCTGCCATAAACTATTTAAACACCGTACATGATTCTGGGAGAAAAATGCTAATTTCTCAACCATCAACATATCATTGAATAGATATCAACACGGGAGCTTAGCTCAGACACAAAAGCTTCTGGCACTCAGTGCTTCGTTAACGGAGCATCCATAAACCAACAATTAAAGGGATTTGTGTGGAAACAAACTCGCTGTGTGTTACTTAATACACTTTTGATGCAGCGTTAGGAAAACAGGGATTAGAGGCGAGAGCCTTCTTTAAATAAACAGGAAGAGCCAGTGATGACTGACGACCTCAAGGCTTGGCTTCATGCCTCTGTCCTACTGGCAGGTAAGAGGAGAGGAAACAGGAGCTATCCTGCAGGGACGCAGAGAAATAAACAGCGGCAGAGAGCCTCAAACAGCAGCATGCTATCCATTTCTTTCTGTCATGTTCATACAGTAGACAGGGACACACACAGTCACATGTAGACATTCACTATGAGAGCAGCTGCTGGTACACAGGCTGTAGAATCCAGCAACAAGCACTATTTTATGGACAAAATGAGGTTTATAGACCTGCCTCACATCCTCGAGTATAGGATCTGATTTACACACTAATGCTGGGCATACCTTTCTCATTTAAAAAATAACCCCGCTGCCGACACATGCCCTGGCCAATACTACACATTGCAAGCTGTTAAGCAACTCCACTGTTTGGCGTCACTTTTATTGGCCATCTCCAAACTGTTAGAGGTTAATGAGGCTTCTTCATCAAACCACAACTGACCTTTTAGAAATGTGTAGGGATCATTGAAACACTATACAACACCAGTGTGATAAGCTATGACTCAACTCTACAGTATGTATGTGTAGAGAAAAGAGAGTGAGATGAATAGCAGACCAAGTGTTGGTCAGTAAGAGCAGCCCACCCACAAACTGGTCGCAGGCTGCTCCACAGACTCTGTTTAGTCTTCAGCCAGTCAATGAAAGACAGAGAAAACAAAGAGACAGACCGACCCCCTTCGCCCTTGCCCCCTCCCCTGCCTGTTTAGGATGAGTTCTCTTCCCAGACAGAACATCGCTGCTTACAGCTGTTGGCATTTTTAGCAGAGAAATAGCAGCTATAAATAAAATAAGGATTACTAAAATAGGACTAATTTGTTTTGAGCATGATGCGTTCATTCATGGAATCTACTCGCGCGAATAATTTCGCTTTGCTTTTGGTGTGAGCGCACCAGTTCACTCTTGTGCAGCTATGACAGGAACAAAATGTCCTGTAAGGCACCACAACATCTACACAAACCTGAAGACCTATGCCACATAGAGGTATTTCTAGTTGAACTATTTGTCAAAGTCCTAAACTCTATTTCTCATTACTTGACAAGATGATCATCCCTTCCGTATTCGTAAATCTTTGTGTCTTCAGATTTGTGTAGGACACGCAAACGTTCAACCAAATGATTAGAAATGGACAAATCCCCAAAATCAAACACTGAAGCATTTTCCAACTTGAAAGACGAGACTGGAGGATTTTTGTACCAAATTTCTTAAAATACAATGGAGAGAAAGTAAAGTCATTCTGCTCAAAGAGCAAGGTCATAGTTGGTAGGTCTACCACACTTGTGTGTGTGTGTGTATGAGACGGAGAGACATCACTCACCTCTATAGTCATGGGGATATTCTGCTTGCGAACATTGTGGTTATGCTGGTCAGTGTTCAGCATTATGACAGCGTAGGCCAAAGCGAAGCCTGCATCATTGGTCACGAAGGGGGAGCCGTTCACTTTCTACAAACACGGTACAGACAAGGAAACACAGGATTAACAGTGGGATTGTGATGGACTCTTGGAGACTTAATTCACCAGGGCAGCTCCAAATAAGTGGAACAGGTTCCCTTTAAGTCAGCCATTAGGATGTGTTATTAAACGGCCAGAAGGTGTGCCACCAAATAAAGAAAACTGTGCCAACTCTGTTTATCACAGTGCTCTTATATTGGTGACCCTGAATCTACTGGACATATACCGAAGAGAAACATGAAGATGCACTAAATGCACACTGTGCTTAGGGACCTGTCCTTCTTGTTTGTCCACCTAGATACAGGGATGCAAGTATGGTCAAAAGAGGGCAAGTGTGTCCCTATGTGTCTCTGAGGGCTGTGTTGTCGGGGCCTTGTGCTCCTGGTAGGGTTACCCTTGGCAAAGTGGTCTCAGGCGAGGGGCCAGACTACGAATGGTTCAAAAGACCCTATGAACCTATGACCCCATTTGGAGCCAGGCCCATATGGAGGGCCCGACAGAGAGAGTCTGGTGCCGTGGAGCCCAGCCCGAAGGAGTGACGCGGCACCCCTAAACTCTACTCCCCATGGGCTCACCACCTGTGTAGGAAATTGATGGGGTCAGATGCTCCGGGGACGTGGAACGTAACCTCTCTGGGGGGGAAGGAGCCAGAGCTTGTGCAGGAGATGGAGCGTTATCAGTTACATGTGGCGGAGACGACAAGCGAGCGAACAGTTAAAAATAAAAGTCTGTTGTTACTCCCACCCGTGTGTCCGAGTATCCTTCCAGTGGAGATAGCTCCAGTGCGGCTACAGTGGCGCCTGACCAGGGTATCTAGCTCTACAGCCGTTTAACTTCAAAGTGGTCCATAGGCCGGGGGCGCAGATGGTCGTGGTAACTTTTCTCCCCCCCCCTTCTGGGGGGAGGGGGGGGGGTCGGTGGGGCTATGTGGTTAGCTCAGCTGCAGAGGGGAGAGCGGGGGAGTGGTTCAGGGAACAGTGCCGGCAGGTGAGTAATCAGGGGCGAGGCCGAGGGGCGGAGACGACGATCGAGCAAACAGTTAAAAATAAAAGTCTGTTGTTATTCCCACCCGTGTGTCCGAGGATCCTTCCAGAGAACCCGCGGAGATTGCGCCAGCGCGGCTACAGACGCCATTCATGGTCTGTCACACCCCTGCAAGAGGGTGTCTCAGCGGTTGGTGTCAGTTTGTCTGGCTTAGGAAGGACATACGAAAGTGGGAAGGGACATGTGTGGTGTGCCAGCGCTTCAAGGCGCACCCCACTCTCACCGTTCTCAGTTACGGAAAGGTAGGTTTGATTATGTTAATGTTGACCTGGTGGGAGCTCTTCCTCCGTCCCGTGGTTTCACGTATCTCACCACCACGGAAAATCGACCCACACGTCGCAGCAGCTGGCGTTTCCTCTGATTAAAGGTGATGATGTTGTTTTGGGAGGTGTGATTAAATGGCTACAAGGGCAGCAAAGTGCAGCCAAAGAAAGAAAAGTTGACCGACTGTTAATCCCTGCGCTCCTACAGGCTACATGTTTCACAAGCTATTAGTTCAGGACAGACAAGTTAGTTTCCAGACAGAATCTCACCTTGCACATGCTGCTTACATGATTACAACGAGTGGAAAAGTCATTAACAGAGTCACTGCTTAAAATGACTCATCATTTCCCTCAAGGCCACCATTTGTGTGTATGTGGTCAGCCTAAGATAAGGACATTACTAGAAATAGTTTCCAAGTCACATGCCTGCTTCTGCTATTTTCAGAAGTCAAATGTTCACCCCGGCTGCAATCTGCCATCCCTGCAGGACTTGTTCGCTTCTAGGTTTCTGAAGCGAGCTAAAAAGATTATAGTCGACCCCTCTCACCCCGGAGAATAAGTGTTTGTGCCCCTTCCATCTGACACAAGGCTGAGGTCCATCAGGACTAAGAACTCCCGCCACACGAACAGTTTCTTCCCGTCGGCAGTCGGGCTCATCAACAGAGCCTGACACATTATAGCAATAAATGTTTCCTGATTCCTGAACTATTAATGCTACATGTAAATAATGATGTAACCCTCGCTGTTTTCTCCACAAGGCATTAACCTGTGGAGCGGTTACATGTGACTGTGTGTGACCAACCGCTAACATACACTGATGTTTCTCCCCACCACCGAGCTGTGTTCTGGCAACATTTGTATTATACAACAACTCTGAGCCCCTTGCTTACAGTAACTAGACAGATTACTCCCAAAAGAATCTTTCCAATTAATGAGTCTATTAACCGGGACTGATTTCAAAAAAGTTTGAAAAGTGAACACTAATACTTTATTCATCTTCTCTTATGTGAGTGGTTCCCAAAGGGGGAAATTTCAGTAGACGAATCAATGAAGCGAGCTAAAAAGATCGTGGCCGACCCCTCCCACCCCGGACAAAAACTGTTTGTGCCTCTTCCATCTGGCAGGAAGCTGAGGTCCATCAGGACTAAGACCTCCCGCCACACCAACAGTTTCTTCCCGTCGGCAGTCGGGCTCATCAACAGAGCCCGGTCCCCCACTGTCTGACTATAACACTCCACCGGTCACTCCCCTTCACACTGCACATGCCACTTTAACTGCAATTCATCACTTTGTCGTCACTCGTCACTTTGTCACTGTCTGTTACTTGTTCGTTAGTGCACTTTATGCTTAATATTTTTCTTTTTAACTTTTTAATATTTAAAATGTTTAACTTTATTCCCTTGTTTTATACTAACCCATAGCCTTAGCCTTATTCTACTAACCCATTGCATTAGCATTTCATTCTTCTTTATTTTATTACTTGTGCACTGTTGTCTTGTCTGTCTACTGTCGCGCACTAACCGCCAAGACAAATTCCTTGTATGTTTGGCATATTTTGGCAAATAAATGTTTCCTGATTCCTGATTAATCTCTAATAATCTGAATGTGCTGATATGAGACGGTGAAATACTGAGCAAATGAGCCTTACATGCCAGTTGTCTGTGAACGTTTCCAGGAGTCTCTGGATGACAGGAGCCTCTCCAGGGAGCCTAAAGGCCTCTAGGTAGAGCCGCAGGGCCTCATCGATACGAAGCCCCTGGAAAGTGAACGTGCTGCAAAAATAGATCCACATAAAAAAATGATCTTTTAGCAAGTTTGTACACCCTTCAAAGACAATTGTAAAAGCCCACTTAAATAATAAACAAATCGGAATTTTAACATACTTGACAAAGCTGTCCAGGAGTTCCATGTTCTTGCGGTCACTGACGTACTCGCCAATCATCTTTTTGTCAAGTCGGGGGTTTTCTCTAAGCCACTGGGCCACCTGGTTGTTGTCCAAAGGAGTGCTGAGCAGACCGTTCTCCTGAAGAAACTGGATGCCCTTTTTGGGCTTCTGGTTAAACTGCTCCGTGCCAGTGATAAGGAGCTGGAGACATAATAAAAAGGCAGTTTGAAGGAGTGGTAACAGAGTTTAGAACTGGTTGTGGTTGTGTAACACTTTGACGAACCCTTTTCTTCGTTCTAATGTCCAGCAACTCTTGGGAATTGGGTAAACATGACGAGAAACGTTGAGGCTTTTTCGGTGGTCTCTTTTCAGCTGAATAGAAAAAAGGAACGTTTAAGCTTCCATCTCAATGCTTAGGGAAGACTTAAGTAAAACTGTGCATATGATCAAAGTCTTACCAGAGTCTTCATCGCCATCCTGTCTACCCAGTCTCATCTTCTCTGCCATCAGATGTCCACTAGTTGGTTGACACACGGATGCATTCTCAGCTGGTAGAAGACTCTTATCATTAGTACTGCCCAGTTTATTAAGATCTGGAGACAAAAACCAAATACTTTCTATCTTTATACTATCTGACGTTTGTGTTACTTTAGATGTAGTAATAATCATTAGTGTTAGTCGTAAATAGTACAGTGTGATGTATGCAGCAGCGTGTATACCAGCCATAGTGTCTGTTCCATTGATGGTGGAAGCGTCTCCCTCTTCCAGCAGTGTTTCTGACTGGTCTTGTTGAGCAGTACTGTTGAGCACCTTGAGCTGGCAGTGGGCTTCAGTGCTGTCAATCACTGTGAGCAGAGCCTCCAGTGACAGGAGGTGGGTGGTGTAGAGCTGCCCTGACACTGGGAAAGCATTCTAATTGCAAAAAAGGGATTGCATTCACCCCAAAAAAGTTTATTTAATGACATATACAATGCAATGTAGTGTCTTTGTCTAGTAAGTAATACTTGTCAATAAATGAAACCCCAGATAAAAATTAAAGTAAAAAGTTGATTCAGGGCTTTCTACGGGTCTGATGGAGCTGACTGAAAAACACACAAAATAAATACACACACCCACTTCCCCTCCCCCACAGTGGTAAACCCAGGGGAAACACTATGCTATATATAACAAATATTACTGTCTACAGCCGGAAATAAGAATATTTATAGTCTGGTTCCGAATTGTGGTAAAGAACACTAACTTTTAAAATGACGGAAAATAAATTGGCAGCAAAAACGTTCAATCACAAACAGATTTTGCATTACTTCTTGCATTAATAAACTGTAAAAATCCCAACATAACAACATGCTAACAGTGTTCCCATATGGGTGTTACCTTGGACAGCAGCTTTGTCAGGTCCTCAAACAGATTGGAGAAGTAGAAGTCACAGTCATAGTTGATGTACAGCTCAGTTACGAAGCTGGGAATCCTCCACAGCTGGACCAGCGCCTCCAGAGCCATCTCTTTCATCTCATAGGGCATTTTAATGTTCTCTGACGTGATGATGTCCATTAGTTTCTTTAGGTACATCTGCCAGTTCAGCACAAATGGTGATGATGATTTGATTTTGATTTCCTCAGGATCAATTTTACATTAATATAGAGTGTAGTTAACGGACAAAGAAAAAACATAATTTGATGAATAAAAAAACATGACAAGCAAAAAAACAGTTACATACTTACCTCAAGTTGAAACTTAAGATGTACTCTCATGCTTTCAAAAAGCAAGAAGCAAACTCGTATGGAGGAAGCATACAGGTTCAAACGGTCTGCACCCAGCAACTGCAACACAGATAATTATCAGAAAAAGATACATCAAGATGTTGATATGGAAAATAAGTCAAGCTTTCTTAGAATACATAATTTGTTTTTCTTCATGATGGAAGTTAAGCCATTCACTGTACCTGATTCATTGGGAATAAACCAACAAATAAACACCGTTTCAGCTTACTATGTATTGATTCACACACGAGCAGTGTTGGTCCACCTCAGTGTTTCCACTACCATTATAACAGAGGGGCGCCCCCCCCCCGAAAAAAATGAATAAATTAAAAAATTAAAAATTCCACGCACGGCGGTTCACACTGAAATGAATATGTCACAAATATGCCCACATGAGCTCGTAGCAGCGAGGCGAAGAGCACCAGACTATTTTCCCGACTATTACCCCCCCAGTTGGCTTTGGCCGACTATTATCCGACTGAAGTTGTAAACCTAGGGGAAACACTGCACCTGGTTTCTAACCAGGACCAAATAGTAAGCATAGATCAACAAAAATTATGATTTCAAGCTTATATCTGCTTTGGTTTCCAAAAACGAGTCAAGTAATTCAAAGAGGCACTGAAAATGCTAACTGTTTGATTTAGATAAAACTTTTCAAAAAGCTTTCAGAAAAAGCTTTCTCATAGCAACAGTTACTAATGCAATGCAATTCTCTTACCATTTTAAATTAGAAAAAAAGCACAGGTGCATTTAAACACTACGAGCATTGGTTCCTACATTGTACAACATTGTACTTCACCTGGAAGAGATGTCTGCACAGCTCATCTTTGACCAGCCCGAGTAAAGACTGGTAGTTTGTGATATGTGCTGACTCAAGAGCTACAGTCAGCAGCTGCAGGCCCATGTGCATCATAGCATCAGTGTTGTGGCGGTCATGTGGGTTGGTCAGGGAAATGAGGAAGCGAAAAAGCTCCCTTAGACATGGCAGGCCATAAGGGATGATGGACGCTCCTACAGGAGCAACAAAAGGGGGACAAAGGTTAGAAAAGGACTACGGCTACAGCCACACTACGTTTCCATTTTAAAATGTATCTCTTTTGCTAGCGTCCACACTACATCATAATTTTAACACCACAAAAACAGACCGATACCAGTTTATTTTGAAAACCTGACAGAATAAAAGCATGAAGGCTCTCCAGTACAACAGGGACAAAACAGACAGTATGATATCAAGGAATAGAGCGAGAAACGCGTGTTGATATGGATCAGTCTTGTTTTAAAACCCCAGTTGTAAACTCAAACGTATTAGTGAGCATATAGTCTTCATAGCTCAAGACAATGTTCTTAGTGTGTAAAGAAGAAAAAAACATTACTCTACAAAATGGTTTTTTTTTTTTAAAGTACTGATTCTTGTAAATTTCTTTTGATGGAGGGAAAAAGAAGAATGCACCAATATAAAACAAAAGTTAAAGGATCTTCACCATCTCTTTGAGTTGATTGTGTGAAACGCACTCCTCTGGGATTGACATAGTCCATGTCATGGATAGAGGGGCTGTCTGATTGCTCTGTAACGGAGCCTTTGTCTTCCAGAACCTCGGGGATGGACTCCACTGAGGCCGACTGAGAATGTTCAACTTGACTTTCCTCAGACTATAAACATAAATTCATAGACAGAAATCATTGGTCGTCATAAAAGTTGAAGTTACATATCAGTTCCAAAGAAAAAAAGACGGAGCTACTTTAATACACAGATTTACCAACAATACATACTATTCAATAAAGTGAACATGGAGATACAAAAAAAGTTGAATATATATATTTATCCAATAAGTACGATGTCTGTTGTGCTAGAACTGGTCGCGACCTGTGCATCCGGATAGCCAGGTTCAGGGCCAAGTGTGGTAGCGGTGAAAGGGGTGGTGGCAGATGAGTTACACTGTTCCAGATCAGAAAGGTCTTCCCTGGACGTGGCTTTGGAACAGGTGTCCAGGCCACTGTCAGTGGTTGTGGGGCTGGAAACGGACGAAGCACCGCTGTCTGAAGCTGGAAGCCCCGAGGTGGACAGGCCTTGCTCAATGAATGGGACGACACCTTACGGGAAAGAGATGCAGTTATACAAGAGTGTAACATGATGTGTTTTCCCATTCTGAGCATCAATAAGTACAGAAGGATCCACCATAGATTCCTTATATACTGCCGGAAAATGGGGCTAACATTGGACAAGGATCCACCAAGGGTCAAAGCATCCTTGTTTACGAATTGACCCCACCGCGACTTTTAAAAGAAAAGGACAGGGAACTGTGGAATTTCTGAAAGCTAAGAGTGGGCTTACTACCTGAAAGGTTGTTACTACTGAGGGGGCTGGACTGGGTTGAATCCATCTGACCAGAAGGACTTCGGACCATGTGGCAAGGTGTCCTCGGCGAGCGTTTCTGTTTCTTCCATTTGGATGACTCACTCATCCCTCCAGCACGCATCTTCAACTGGAGGAAACACGGTGGATCAGTGAGTAGGGCCTCTCCAAACTCGCTGCAAGTCGTACAGACCATCATTACAGAGCCATGACCCAAGAGGAGGATGTGTTTCTCCGCCTTCTTTTACCTTTCTTCTTGCGTTGTAGTGAATAGACTGCCAGCTTAAAGGGTGCAATCACACAAAATGTCATGTGGTATGACAAAGTTAAAGCTAGCTGTTTAGCATGTTCTAAGCTTTACCTAAACACAAACCAGTGTTCTCCAGCACATTACAGGTCATTTAGCTGATGCTTTTATCCAAAGCGACTTACATTGCATTTTTAACTATGGCTTTTACATTTTTTTGCCCGGGGAGCAATTAGGGGTTAGGTGTCTTGCTCAGAGACACTATGACATGGGGCAGCCAGGGCTCGAACCACCAACCTTGTGGTTCCCAGCGCACCCTCTCTACCCCTGCAGACTTTGAAGAGGAAGAAGAATTGCCTTTTAAATCCCTGCTAAGTGAATTACAGCGCGAATTCTTTTGACTGTATACATCCATGTGGAAAAACGAAATAAAAAACTTTTAGAGTAATATATTTAAGCCAAAAGGTGGGTTGTATGTTGTAGAATCTGTAATATGAATTATGCTAGGTGACTAAACTAATTCGATTTAAGAAACTCTGGCTCTAGAACAAGCAAAACAAATACTGTGCTACAACCCTTCTCTAGATTGAATTGAACAAATCTGAAGTTGATCTGATCAATTCCATATGAGGAGTATTTTTAAGTACAGCGCCTGAAAATGGCCCAAACAAAATTCAAAACTGCTTGTTGGGTTTAGAGCATGGCCCCAAATAACATTGTCTTAATGATGCCTGCCTCATTTGGTGCATCTTGGTCAAGCACTACGTGAACTGCCTCATCTAGTAGGGGAGCTATCGAGCCGACTTGCCATTCTGAAGCTCTAAGAAAAAAAACTAATTCTAGGACTTTAAATGTGTGCGCCAGGATTGATTCCGTTTGAAGCACTTATAGTCCCCGGATAACAGCTTTTTTTATGGTGAAGAATGCGTCCCACGGCAACAGCCTTTCATGAAACAACAAACTGTAACTTTTCATAACAAAGGTCTCTAGATTGTACTGACAAAAGTTGAAGTTGATCTGATAAACTCCCTACAGGAGGAGTACAGCGCCTGGAAATAAACATTAAATTCATACACAATTAAAAATGGCCAACATACAGTGAGGGCGCGTCGCCGACATTTTTTAGGGGGAGCCAAATTTGAGCTGTGAAGTGTTAGAAGTATTAAAATTATGTCAGATAACTAGAATGTGGGCTTATTGTTTGCAATAACTTTGGTTATGTCTTCCAGGTCGTCGCCCTTTAACGTGTCCTCACAACCTTTACCATGGAGTATATCAATGTCTTAAAGCTCTCCATGATACATTTCAACCTGAAAACTTGGTAGTGCTAATTAGCGATCCTTGCTTACTAACGGACACATGTCATGTCTATCAAAAGCAACCCTGGCTGACTCCAATCAGTTCAAGCCATCCGAGTGAGGGAATGACCAAGATTCCAATGTCTGGAATGGTTGTGACGGTTCCCTCGTTTCTGACAGATGAGAGGGTTGTTTTTTTATATCAATTTGTTCTTCCCTTACGGACCGGGACTGCCCGACGGGTAGATCACCATAACTTTGTCGATAGAAAAGTAGCTCACAAAAAGGTGTGGGCACTCCTGCACTAGATTCTGCAACAGCTGAGTAGGTCAGTTGGTAGCATGATACACAGCAGCTGAGACATGTATATGATGCGGTAATAATGCACAAACTAAACATGAAGTAATAATATCAAAGTAATAGTAGCATTCACAAGCACAGACATGTCACAGTCAACTATGTCAGTTGATTTGTTCCTCAATAATAGAGGAGAATCTCTGTCCCGGGTAGTGTGGTTAATAAAAAGGTCAAGGGGAAGGTTTATGGGAAGAGCTTGTTCAGCCTAAATACTGAAAGACATCCTCCTTACCTGCACTCGTTTGTTTTTCCACAAGATATTGTAAGCCTCAAAAGAGAAGGGGATCGAGCAGGCGCCCGTGATTAGTGATCAGTAACATGTCAGCAGTGGGACAAACACAACACACACCGGAACGTGCACTGTGCATGGAGAGGGGGGGGCCACAAACAGCATCTTTGGGCTACTAGAGAATGTGCAGCCAGCTAGTGAGCCGTGTGAGTGACCGATCATGCAGAAAGCAAAAACTGCTGGAGCAACTGCCTCCAGCTCAATATTTAGCAATACAACAGTCATCCAAACAACAAGTTATAACGGGGAAAAATGTGTCTTATTCACTGCATGGGAGTCAGTCCCATCAGATTTCTTTGAGAGGCTTAAGAACCCGTTCTGTGCTTCTCAAACTGAAAACTGAAAAGTTCCCAAACCAGGACTGAAGTGAACGGATAGAAAGTGACTAGAGAAGGCTGCATTGTTATTGAGAAGAGACAGGCGCAGGAAGACTAATCATGTGTGTGTAGGTTTCATTTTACCGAAGGCGGTGTAGAGTAAAGGGATTACCACAGGTTACTGTATGCATGTTACTGATCTTGGTATTTTGGACACATTTTCAATATGGAATCTCAGACCAAAACAGACACAAACTTAACAATGGCAAATCGCCAATGAGCAACAACCAGGACAACGAAAATGGGCAATAAAGCACAAAAACAGCGAGCACATGACAGATTTTTTAAAAGAACATTTAAGTCTTCTTACCTTCTTCATACTGGCACCCACAAAACTCTTGGCCTCCTCTTTGAACTGTGGAAGTCTGGAAGAATAAGAAAGAGCCAGCTGTGTTATTAAAGACAGCCTTTGAGGAAACAACGTCTGACATAATTCCATTGTCTCATCTATATAGGTGCAGGGAAATGCAAATAAATTAATTTCAAACAAAAATGTTATTTATGATATAACTTGGGACGCACATAAACAGCTGGTTAAGATCCTTCACTGTGCTGCTGATATGATTGGATGATAATTCAGCATTACCAGCTGGTGTGTTAGGTGAAGCCGAATGAAGCACACCTGTGGATCAGTGATCAGATTAGTCCATTCTTGATGTATTTTAGGGTCCACATGTTATCAGATTAGCTACAACTAATTTCACTGCAAATTGTGATCATTGCTTTTCGTCAATTAGAGTAGTTTAGCGGTTATGGTCCCCTGACTCAATGTTGTACCCCTTTAATTTTTTTTCTTCTTTTTAACCGCCCCAAACAAAAGAAGCAATACAAAAGGAATGTATAACATGTGCTAAGCTGAAGAGGCTGCTTGAGATCCAATATCACAGTGGGAATCTCAACATTTTAAACCTGAGCCGTAAATAAACTCGTCCAGCATTTGATGAGCAATCTTGGCTGCTATTTGTGGGCACCCACCACTGGGTTTCTGTGGACACTAAAGCTTTGCTGGAAAATGGGATGTCACTGCCATTCACAGTCACACACAATCGCACAACCTCCCCCGCCGCCTGACATTAACTCAGCGTTAACAGATTAACATGTATAATAGTTCAAGCAGGCAATCTAAGACTGCATCTGAGGAGCTGAAGAGAGCTGCTGTTCATCCGTCTCTTGTGGGGGGTCGCGGGAGAGACCCTCTCACATATACAGTATATTACCCAGGGTCTGTGGACAAGTGGTGGTCTGGGGGTTGAGCAAGAGCAAAATTATATAGGCCGTGTGTGTGGGGGGGGATTGGGGTGCAACTGTGTGTGCCTGTGTGAATAGAATCAGAACGAAGTAATAAAAAGCCCAAGCTAAATTGACATCTCCCCGTTTCTGACTCTAGCTGGTGGGCTTCTCCATTCCATGCTCGCACAGTAAATTCTGGTGAGTGTCGGGGGAGAATTTGTCGAGCTGCATATTGGGAGTGTCTCAAGAACTCGTATGTGACCTTTCTTGTCACAAGGGCTGAATCCACAAATTTCCACCACAGTGAGAAGAAGTGATAACAAGGTGCCCTATAACAGTCATGCCTGTAACTATGGCTGAGACTGTTTGGAGGGAGCATAGGTAATGGCAACAAGCACCACTGGACTTCACTGGTCCACTGGTAGAAAACCCCAAACTTCCAAAGCTTCAAATAGTCCTGTGGAGACAAAGGTAAATACTACCAGAACTTTAAATCAAGCTCTTGTTTGTTTTGCCGGTTTGCTTCTTTACATTAAGACGAGCCGAAAAAGTTAATTTGATTATTTTTCTGATTTCATGACAGCAAGTCTGTCTGGAGTCCCTGGCAAAGATAGTTCTGTATGCATGCGCGCGTGTGTCTCAGTATTTATGGGGCTTCATCTATATGCAGATCATGTGGTCAGTGGGCTCATCCCGTCGTCTGTGACCGAATGTGACTGGCACTCTGATGCATGTGGGTGGGCTGATGTGGAGAGAGGAGCTGCTATGCTAAGTGGCAAGAGAGAAATCATGTTATGGCATTAGTCAATCTTTAGCCCAATGACCCTGTGCACAGTGCAAAATGAAATGCATGAGCTTGAAGGGGAATAATGAGGCCTGCGGGACGAATGATGCAGATGCACAACGTGACCAAGCCATAACTACGCCGTGTCTGATGGAATTTGAAAAATGTGCTCAAAGTGTCGCTGCGACATTACGTTCAGCTCAATATTGATAATAATCACAACTATTTTGATCAATATTGAGATCACGATTATTTATTAATTGTAGGAACAACTTTTTTTTTTTTACACTTTCACGTTCAAAATATAGATGCACATTTTAACCAACTAAAAATAAAACTTATTTATATATAAAGTATTTATTGGACACATGGCCAAATGAAATGCGATTGCATTCGTTATTTCAGGGGGAAAGTGATTGTGTTCAAAATAATCGACTGACTATTGGTCAAACATTATGCCTCTATCCCGGCTGTTATTATGCCTCTATCCCGGCTGTCACCATAAAAGGCATAAAAAACTACTGTTAACATACTGTCTCAATCACTTCAGGAGTGTACTCATTTAGGTTCAGCAGAACCCATGTCCCTCCACCACTATTCCTTTACCTGGAGAACAGCAGCTGCACCATGTCTACTAGTGTATGTTCAGCCGATTTCCTGAGGAGCTCTGCACACAGAAAAAAAAAAAAAACTTTAGAACCAAACACAACAAAATAAGGGAAAAGGTTCACCAGAGACACATACATTTGAATATTAACTAGTGAAGTAGTCAATGCAAGCCAACAGCGGTAGATTCTCAACTGGAACTTGGCTGTTTGGGATATTTGTAATTTGTATTATGAATCATTTATCATACATCAGACCACATTCATCCAAATATGAATTAAGCCAGTGTGTTGTAATACATTAAGAAAGAAAGTATCCTTTATTTTGGGGAAATGATGCTCTGCATTTAACCCATCCCACATAGTGGGAGCAGTGTGCTGCCAGTCACTCTACTCCATGCGCCATTAGCATTTCATATAAAATAATGACAGAATGAATGTAATAAATGCAATCCAACCAATCCGGTGACTAAATCATTTGTAGGAAGAGTTGTGTTCGACAATCAGAAATGATAATGATAAGCTGAAGTGTTTAAAAAGCTATGATATTTTTGGATCATTTTTTTGTTGTTGTTTGTTAGCGCTTAACAACATATATAAACTTACACTATAACTATATGACAAACTACAGGGGGAAAAGACCTTCGGCCATGAGAGGACAGTTAGGGTTACTTTCTAAAAAAACTACTCCATAAACATCAAAATGATCTAAAATCCAGTCCGACAGTCTGAGATAAAAGCTTAATAGATCCATGGTACAGAAATAACAGTATTAGAACAAGAAATTGTATCAGGGCCACAATTGAGAGGTACCACTGGAAGATGTGAATACTAGGTAGGGAGAAGTAGAGGTTGTGACTGAAAGTCAGACAGTTGATATGAATGTAGATGAAGTTAAACAATCCACCACCAGCATGTGAGTATTATAGAAATGATTGTCATCTCAGAAACAGCGGTCTCTGAGGGCTTGATGAGACTCACCACTTAGGCGCATCTCGAAGCAGATCCTGAAGCAGGACTGCATGATCTCACACACCGACTCGTTGGTCAGATGGGCCCCAACGGGGGTCAGCAGCAGAGTCCTCAGGACCTGAAACAAGGTGTAATATCATCAGCTAAAAAAAGAAATTATAATGGGGAGATTCAAATTAATAGTGCGCTAGAATTAGCTATTTAAATACTACTACTAGTACTACCACCAACATACATATCTGTTTTTACGGATGCCTTTTATATTATTTGGTCATTGTGTTACATTAATGTTTTGGTAAAAGGAAGGTGGTACTTGTTCAATGGTGAGATCACAATTATTCATTCATTTTAGACACAACATCTTTTTCTACTAATACCAGAGTCCACAGAACTTCTCAAGAGCTACCGCTGCAGGGTGCGTGCATGACTCCTCCCACCTTGTTCTCCCCCTGGTGGTTGGCCTACTGTTAGTTGAGGAAGCGCTTAATTTGATATGTAGCAGAGCACACATTTTGTAACTGTGGCAGCCAAAATCGTGATCGTGATAAAAATTGGATTAATTGTGCAGCCCGGTGGCACAGGCTTTACTGTCGGGCATCAAATTAAAAAGCTCCACGGACTGGTTTCTCCATTATATCAGATGGTACTTTATTTTGTGATGGCAAAAGAGCTGTATATTGTCTAAATATTGATTATATATATATAAATAAATAAAAATATATATATAAATAAAACACATGCTTGGCTCAACAAAGTGAATGACGTCGTTTTTAAAGGAGACATATTGTTGAGACGTTCATGTTTAATCATTTATTTTTCCACATAAATACTGTCTGCCTGTATACACCTGGGGTGTACCAAGCAGCATTGAATCCATTCGTGGAGTTTGTCCACCAAGAATCACAAAAAAGTAGCCCTTTACCAAAGATGTGCTCATGAGTTTCTAGGAAAAAAGTCATGCAGCTTAATAAAGCACGAAAAGAGTATTATACATGGAGTATTTAGAGCAGTGTTTTGAATAACAGACTGGAAATAATTAAATGCATTCTTTCTCTTTTTATCCAATTAATGATAAATTCATAAAAGTAATTTTATTTTGTTAAAATGGAATTCATTGTTTATCAAAATAGCTTCAAACTCCATTTCTACAGGGGAAACATTTACGATGAGCAATGAAAAAGTATTTTATACAATAAGTCACCTTAATAAAAACGGGAAGTAGGATTTAGGAAGATATATTGGAAGAAAGAATATAGAGAATATAATATTCATAAGGATGACCTTAAACTACGACCCGTTTTTAATGAGCCCCTAATGTCTCCGTAGGGAGCAGGCGATCTACACCGAGTCTGCTTTCTATAGTCACCCAGAAAAGACAAACCAAACATGGGCTCCAGAAAAACTTGTGTGTTATAATGTCCCCCGATGGCACCATAAATCTCTACATGCTTGTAAAGGGAGGTGGCGAGCAGAGGGTTATTCGGCTCTAATAATCAGCAGTGCATCTAGCATCCTCACTGCTCATATGACCCACTGTTCCTTTAAAGCCTCTGTTCTTATAGTAAAAATAGTTGCATATATTTGTGAACAAAACATGTATCCATATCAAAATATGCATAATAACCAAAACGCTGTGAAATATAGAGCGGTTATGTGGTGGCCTGGTCCAATGTCTCCTCACGACACATGGCATGGAGACAACATGGTCCCTAGTAGTCAGCGCTCTGTGGTTACTACTGGCAAACATGTCTTACCTGTAGAATCTTCATGAGAACCACTTCATCGCTGGCAGGGTCAGTTCCCACAAATCTAGCGTGTGTGACTGCATCTGCCATGTTCTCGATGGCTTCTGCTGCTGCTTCGTGGTTAGCGTCTGCAAACACACAAAAAACAAGCTTTCCAAAAAATGCCTGACTTACAATGTTTTGCTGAAGACAGCAGCAGTCTGAATGGGGCCATTGATTATGATTATGATTGATTATGACAAATGTATATTGATTTTATGTTTTGTTAAACAAACAATTAATGTTTGTTTGTTAGGCCCCTGCTCAAAAATGGCATACCCATGATAAAAAAGGTTATATCTCTGCAATCATAATGTCTATTTGAATAATCTGGATGTCATAATAAAGGCAACACTTGTAAGGGTTTTGTCCACATTAGTAAATATCATGGCTGTTAATCTATGAAATTATTGTAGCTGAGATTAGCAGTTAAGAGTTTTTTTTCACTTTCAGTGTGTATTGACCCCTGAACCCTGACCCCTGACCCCTGAAACCGCCGCATGCTGTCGTCAGTTAGATTGGAGAAACCGAGGCAGTAGTTGAAGATGGAGAGCTTTTTACATTGGAAGTAAAAAAAACAGAAGAACTGTGTCATTTGTGTGTTTAGCCAAAGTAGGGTAGCGCTGAGCTACAAATGGTTCAACCTGCAACGTTGTCCAATTCTCGTCACATGAGTCATGATTTTTGGTCATTCAGTTGTTGTGGGTGTTTTTAAACATGTAAATATGGCTTGTTTATACCCCCCCCACGCTGAAAAAGTATGTAATTCAATTTTGTTATTTTTACACGCACAGCAGTTCCACACTGACATGAATATGTCCCGAATATGTCCGTGTGAGCTCGCAGCAGCGGGGCAAAGAGCACCAGTGACTACTAACCCCAGTTAGTGGTCACTGTAAACCTAGGGGAAACACTTAACCCACAGATCCAAATCTGAGACTGTGGGGCTGACTGACAAATGACCAACAGATGAAAGCACATTGACCGTGTCAACAAAAAGCCAAAATCAGAAACTTCAGATAGTACAACCTGTACAACCTGAAACCTTTGGTTTGATCCATCATTCAGAAAGACATGACTTAAGAAGTTCTAATAACCTCTGGCAACTTGAGGTTATTATTTGTCATCTGATGGTATTATATAAAGAACTTCATGCGAATAAGAGAACAACCAGCAGATAAAAAATTCAGCCCTAAATGAGCAGATAACGTGGACGGATAGGTACATGTGTGAATGATGACATGTAGTCAGTGTGTGTGAAGAATAGAAAAGATAGTGTATCTAGCATTTATAAAAATACTACACTACGAGTTAACCCCAATCTCATTGATTGGACCACTGTATGATTTGGAAACATTTTAGTGGTAGTAATGTCCACAATATTACATTATGCAACTTTTTAATTTAGTTTGAAGTGAGATGGTAAATAACTTATCATTTGCCACGGTTATATAGTAAAGCAGTTATTTATTTGTGTAGGCCAAACAAGATGACTAAAAAAAATTTCAGTAAGGCTCTAAAGATAATGATAATATATATTAATTCTATTTTTTTGTATGTATGTGATTGTATGTATCACACACCTCTCAATGAAAACCTAATTACAGTGCGTTGGTCGCTCCAAGTGAAGAAACCATCAAAGCACAAAAATCAAACCAGATGTGGCTTTTTTTTTTCGGGGGCAGGCGGGTACAAATTGGCAGTCAGAGCAACAGCAGCCAGTGTTTTTGAAACCCGAGCGGCTAGCCAGCTCTGCGCCTGCTCTCCTTTCTTATCACCCTCAGGAGCATCAACTCATTAACTAATAAGCAAAGAGAAAGAAGAAGCGGAAGCTTGGAGAGTGGGAGTACGAGAAGAATGCAGTTGGTCAACGTGAAGAAAATGAGCATGATTAACTGAACATGTAAGCATGTGACGTTAGATCAACGACATGACTTTGGTGATTGACAAGCTGAAAAGAGTACATGGGTCACAGGTTAATGGCCCACAACTAGTGTATGCTAGGTTGGGCCCGTTGAGAGTGAGCAATGTCAATAACCCTGCACTGGGGGGAGGGAGGGGGAGACAACAAGCGTGGAAGCAGCCAATGTCCAGCCAAAGAAACTGGAGCCACAGGGGGATCCAGCAGAACAGAATCTCAGAAGTGATATGAAACACTAATCCCTCTGTTGGCACACAGTCTATACAAGCGCGGTCCAAAGGAAGGGGGGTGGGGGGGGTTGTTAAAATAACACTGCGGAAAGGAGAAGCTCAGTATCTGTGTGTGAAGGTCAATAGGGATTTGAACCAGCTGCCACATGAAGCAGTTTAAGTACTACCAAAATCTGCTCGCAGAAATTCAAAGACGTGGCGTGAGTGAGCGAGCAGAAAAAGCAGAGTGGTACACAAAAAGCTCCCAGGATGCACTCTGATTGAGAGCCAAGCATCTTTAGAAAGCAAACAAAGGAGCCGCTGCTTTTTCCATTGCCAGAGCAGAACATGAGTTTGTTCACCTGTTCTTTTTCTGAATAACAAAAGATCCCCTTACAGCAAGGCTGCTCCGCTCTCATCTTTAGCCACAGTCAGTGTCACAATTGTAAATGCATGCAATGCATCTATTTAAAGGAGTATATTCTCTTGATGCAAGTGTTGCTTTTCTTTCATTTACCTCTTCAAAGGTCACGCAACAAACATTATCTCATGGATGTGATTGGTTCACCAGCACTTATCCATAAAAAAGCAACATAACTAATAATAAACGTTCTTTCCATCGCTAATAGTTTGACCTTCTGCCCGAGCACTGAGCTTAGGTCACAGGTGGATTGCAGTAGCCATGTACGTACTTAGATTCACTGATCAAGTGTTCAAGGTTGAGCTCTCCAATAATATGCTGCAGGATGGCTTAGTATATAATAATGCATCATCTTAATATTGTTCAGTCAGAGCGGGATCTGAAACATAACCAGTAACTGTAGTACTACAATGTTCTAGTAGTAGTACACAAGTGTATAGTAAAATTGTATACTTTTTACATTCCTCGGGAGCCTTTTGTAAGTCATCTTAATATGAATGTGGGAATGTGTATTCTTTTTTTCTTTTTATTTGTTATTGAAATATGCTGCTTTTGAGCAGGTTATTACTTCATCTCTAAAAAAAAAAAAACACCGTCTTAAAAAAAGACTAAAGAGAAGGGCCTTACATTGTTTCAATTCTTTAAAACGCAATGAGATCTATGAATGTAGACAATGTAGATTATGATTAATTTGTGCTTCTTATTCTTTTTTTACTTCACATGATAGAGGTACTTAGTATTATATTCCTACAAGGTTAAGTAGTAGTACTGGCAAAGAGGGAGATGAAAAAGGCCAAGATACCACTAATGACATCATTGAAGTATTTCCTCTGACTGAGGGCCTCTTGTACGCTTTTGCTCCCCCTTCAGGCGTATTTGTCTCGCAACGTGCGCGTAAAAGCATGGCGAGGTATGTACAAACAAGCCGCACTGAGGTAAAAGCGGTAAAGGGCTGCCTGTCGCGGAAACTGAAAAGGGCAAATTATGCTTTCCGTGTCGTGCATATGCATTCATGGGAGGGTCAAGGGGAAAGTGGGACTTTCCCATAAAGAGATAGGGGATGCGTAGTGCGCCTAATTATGTATTCAGCGGTATGTACACAAACCGACCGTGAAAGTGTGCCTCCGTTTTGCGGTGAAAATTCTGACTCGAAAGCAGGTGTAAACCAGAACGCCGGTTTCCTCATATATGCCTCCTAGTGGGATGACAGCAGTAATCCGAGACAGACAATAGGCCAAGGAGACGAGCTGAAAGGATTTTTGCCACAAGGATCACACTTTTTCAGTAGTGAGTGAACACAAAATCATTATGTGTTAGATTTGAAGCAGCCATGCAATATTACAGTTACTGGAAGAAATCAAAGATGACATCGCATCTCCCACTCAGTGTTCACATTACATTCCTGCAGTTGTTAAACTCCTTGATACATTACAATTATTGGCATCAGGGTAATTTTAAACAGTCATAGCATCAGCAGTGGGAATATCGCAGTCTGTACACAGCCGTATCACAGCACAAGTACTTATGGCTTTGCTAGAGCGCCCTAGTCAATACATACATTTCCCACCACTAATGCAGAAATAACACATCGACTTTGTTGTCACTGAATTTTTGTTTTTGCTTTTTTGACTTTGGTTGATCCATGAAAGAGAGCAGGAGGCCCATTCACTTGCGTGTTTAAAGGCTTCCATGGTGCGGTATAGTGGGAGGAGAAGGGCGCTGATTACCTGATGAGCTCCAGGTTTTGTAAATACGAGGTAAACTATTACTAAGTATCACAGTGAGCGCTATCAGCGCGTTTTCCATGGCGCTGACAACTCGACGTTTGCGTATGTACGTACATACATGACGGCCTGAGACTTTCTCCCTTTTAGTCAGTAGCATATTTTCTCGCTTATCCTGTCTTTTTTCGTAGAAGGGGTTTCTCTTTTCTGAAATACATGTTTCTGCTCATGCTAATAATGTACCGTTTTATCAATTGAAACAGTCATTTTATTTAAGAATTACACTATTCAGCCCTAAAACCAGAGTCAGGCTTCAGCTTTTCTTCTGGAAGTTGCTGCAGCTCATGCCTGAGCTGGGCCTCGCTCTGAGCCCTGTGTGGGCTGGCATTCATGCCACTGCAAGCAGTACAGTGTTGACTCTGCTGTGCAGGAGAAAAAACAAGAAGACAGAAGGAGCAACAGGGAAGTCAGTGCTTCCCCTACCATTATTCAATTAACCCCTGCTCCCTCTTAAAAGCCTGGATTTTAATTTTTTTTAACGCAGGCAGTTCCGCACTAGACACCTGCGCGCATTAGTCTGTGTATCATGTATCGCTCATGGTGAAGAGAGCACCAGCAGACAAACTACCATCCCCGTCGCCCGCCTACTGCTACCTGGATATACGTCAGAGTCTTTGTTCACCCTTCCATCGTGCCACAGATTGAGAGGTGGCTGTGAGTGGGAGACATTTGTTTTTCCTTTTCTCTCGGGCCCTGGACAAGCAGAACCAACACGCTCTCCGTCCGTCTCTGAAAGCCTCCAGGTGGAGACACAGAGTATCACAATGTGGATCGATAACAAGGCCAACTTGTGTCCCAATGCAGGTACGAGTGACGGGGTTTAAGACACTTTAAATTCAGAAGAACCATTGAGGAAAACAGTTGATAGAAGACTAGAAGGTCTAGCCAGGAGAGGGCAGTACTTGACAAGGCCAGGATTGTTGTACTCTTTCTACTCAGCTATCCTGAGGGCATTTATCCATCCATGCATTCTGACTGGTGCTCTTGCTAACAGCGTGCTGATGAATAATGTTAGAAATATTGTCAATTATAGTTTTATGTAATTATTTGCATTATTGCTTTGAACTCGAATGATGTATATATAATATAATAATATTATTTTCTTATATTTCATTATTTTTTGAATTGTGTTTTTTTTTATCAGGGAAAAAGGATAACATGTAGAATTGTTTCTTTTGTGCCCGTCCAATCCGTAATAAGAGCCAAAGCGTGTGTGTTATGATCTCAGGTTAGATCATTGTGCAAATCAATAACCTAATATGTCTGTTTGGCTCTATCTCTGTCCATCTATACATGCTATACTTCATTTAGGAGATGAAAGGTATTTTACAGTTTCAAAGTGCAAACATGAAAATAATGTTTTTAGAAAACACTGTGTGATATTTTGCATATTTACAGTGCAACTCTCCTTGAAAATCAAAATCTGAGCCAGCCTAGCCACACTACGTTGAGAAATTATGTCTTTAGTGTGCTCTGGGAGTCTTCGCACATTCTTCAGTTTGGGTTTCAATACCCTTTAAATTAACACTCAATATCACATGCTCGCAGCCCCGCCCACACTACCAGGACAAAAGTAAAAAGAGGAGAGCGTATGGAAGTAAATCTGTGTCATCGGATTTTGAAAGAAAAAAAAAAAAATTCTAGCACTGAATATTTATGCATTGAAATCATGTATCTGAATGTTTTTCAACGTTAAAATATTCAACTGCAAAGAATTCAACCGCAAATAATTCAACCGCAAAAAATTCAATGCAAAAAAATTCAAACCGCAACATCCGGGAACCCAAGGAAGAGCAATCAATTCTAGATTCAAGATCGGGAGCGTGCGTCAAGCAAAAGGAGCGAGCGCCCCAATACAACCGGATTTCAGCCATGTCCATTAATAATGGGGCTTCGTTGAGTGTTTTAACGTGTGCAGACGCATAACCCCGACAGTACGTGCAGGTTATGCTGTTTACATGCACGATCATATCATGTCTAACGGTGATGGGGTTTGATAAAGTCAAACTGGTATCACAACTTCTACTCAACTGTCTTTACTTTTAAGAACTTTATTAAAATTCAGTGACCGATCACAATCTCTGCTTCGCAACTGTAAGGTCGTATGGGACAATAACCCTTTGTCACACTATAATGTGTACAAGTCTGATATGTTCGTGTTTTTGGTGGGTTTTTTATGATACTATATAATTTACGACATCGTACTGAGAGCTTGAAAAAACAACCACAACCGAACGTCATCTCGTTTAACTTCTGCTTATTTCACGTCCGATGTACAAATGTCAGCTGTCTATTACTGAATCTTACAGGCACAAACCACACTGATGGCATATAATAAAGTTAAAACACACCGAAGCCCCATCACCGTTAGACATGATATGATCGTGCATGTAAACAGCATAACCTGCACGTACTGTCGGGGTTATGCGTCTGCACACGCTCCGCTAAACACAACAACTGGAGAGAGCGCCGTAAACCTGCTGCACCGGCACAGTTGTGCAGGTTTGCCTACCCTATGGAAACATACAGCGCCTTGCATAAGTATTTCCCCCCTTGGACTTTTCTCCATTTTGTCATGGTATAACCACACACTCAAATTCATTTCATTGAGATTTCACGTAATGGACCAACACAAGCCATGTGGAACACACAGCAAACATGTGGAGAAGGTGCTCTGGTCAGTTGAGACCCAAACTGGGATGGCACTGTAGCATTTAAGCATTGTTCCTTTAAACATACACATACACCCAGGCTATCCAAATACAGACCATCAGCATGCATACAACAATATTTTATTGATATTAGAAATATTTTAAGGAGGTGTCTCAGTTTTTATATCTGGTATAAGATATGGGGGCTCTAAGCTAGGTGTGTAACTGTCCTCTAACACGTCCTCCATTGGTTGTGTCTAGTAAATGTTGTCTTAACGAGTCATTGGAACATCACAGATTATTGTCAACCACAGATGTTCATGGAGAAAGAAACGTGTTAATTTTCATTTAACATTTCTTTTCCTCACACCCTGTTGGTTATTACCCCTCAGTACAACCGGTGTCTCAAGCTTTTGACTGGCACTGCAGTCTATAAATGTCAAAGCTAATACTGCTAATAATTCATCAAAGAATCTCCTGATCTAAATGGTTGAGGACTCTCTACTTTTGAAAAACTGATAAAGATAAAACTGTACTGCGCAAACCAAAATAAAGGTTAGACATGGAGAGAGGCAAAGTCGCTCCTTTGGTGTCCCTTGGGACCTTACATATTAAAAAATATTGTTGAAAATAACAGAAAAAATATTTGTCATAATCTCATTTGAATGGTGCTTTGAATTACACACATGTTGTTATTCAATTTAAAAGGTAATTTTGGACTACGAAGTGTCAGTCTGTCATACCATCCTTAGGGTTTGTGTGAAACGTATCAGTGGACTACATCTCTCATCGTTACTCCACCAGCATGACCTATAGCATTGGCGGGTTATCCAGCTAGGTAACGCTACCTTATGCGCTAGCTCATGCGCATGCGTCAGCTGGGAAGAGAAAAAAGCAGCGAGATCCATTTTAGATGTAAGAGCATCCTGGTACCAAACACAGAGGATGAGACAGAATTCAACCAGGATAAAATAGTAATTTGCTAACAGCCATTGACAACTGCACATATTTGATCAGAAATACGGTTCCCGGGTGGTCCACCAGCCTCTTTATGGCTGATGAGTATTTCTTACCTATTAGGCCATAGCAAAGGAACTTGTTGACAGATGTGAGGGCAAGGCCTGTGATAGGTCCAGTGGTGTCCTCGGAGCGGACCACTTCGAGGAAGGGCCTCAGAAAAACGTTTGGCTCCACGTCACAGAGTACTGAAGAAAGAAGACACACACAATGAGCCCACTAATTTGTTTAGATATGTATGTGCTTATTGACAAATTACCAACTATATATCATACACACACACGCATATATATATTCTTTTAAATTTAAACCTTTATTTAACCAGGAAAGTCCAATTAATATTAAAAATATTTCTCAAGGGAGACCTGGCCAAGACAGGCAGCGACATAAAAACACAGTAACGGACAGAAAACACACAATGAAAGTCAAAAGAAACTTAAAGAGACACAACCAGGTTATTTTTATTTTTTTTATGTGCGGTAACCTGCCTCTATAAGTTGTATCAGTTCTTTGAGTTTTAAATTCTTCTGCAACAGGGTACAGAATACATAAAAGCCCTTTTTACATTTCCGTTCTGGCATTTGGGACAAGGAGCACAAAGAAGTCTTGAAAACACAAGGAGTTTTGTCCGACACGTTACTGCATGATGAGGACACTCAATGAGAGAGCCTACGGGTGGCCAAAGCGGGCCATCCTACCCGAGAACTGTAACTCACAGTGGTGAATCAGGGGTTTACAATTTGTAATGAACCTCAGTCAAGCACGGTAGGCGTCCACCACACGAAGGCGGTTTGCAGAGGCATGCGCATGAAGATTTCTACAGTCCAACACAGGTAAAAAGGTAGCAGAAACTACAACATATAGTATAATAATATAAATATACATACATGTATATATTAATAATTTGTTGATATAGGAGCCTTTAGAGACCACCCATAAGCCCTAGACACCCATGGGATGGCGAGTTGAGGGGGACCAACAGGGGACAATGATGGGAGCACTGCGCTGCCGCATTTCTCGTTTTGGTCATGAGATCTGGTACCTTTTCTCTGCTCACAAAGTCATTGGGATCAAGTCAGAAGTTAGAATATACAACATAGTTTGGAAATGCAGTTGTTAGAAAATATTTTACAGCCACATCAAAAGGAGTCAGAAGCGGATCAGAGTTGGTGTCCACAAGTATCCAGCAGGTCGTCCTGTGACCAGTTCCCAAAGGAGGGAGCTTCGCTGGGCATTCCTCTCTGGGAAACCACCCACTTCAATAGGCCCTCTCTTTCTCTTGAGAATTCGGCGCAAAAGGGGGTCAAGAGGGGAGACCAAAATACAAAACAGGTAAAAAAAACAACAGGGAAAATGATTAGAATCATGCATGGAGCTGTGAAATCTTGAGCCCAAAGAGTACTCGCTGCTGCAATACCACAAGGATTATGGCTTTCCTAGGAGCAGCTCCACGTCAAACAAGAAACGAATAGCTTGGACTTCAAAAGCGTCTCGATGAGCGTACAACCATTTTATAAAAGTGCACATGTGGCTTTGTTGTGTGATATTCAATACTGCAGCTTACTTAGACTACTTACTTAGAAAAATATCAAATCATTTTTAGGCCTCGCTTTCTTGACTATTTTTTCACAAGGTGTTTAATTTGGTTGGTGTTAAATAAAGAGCCTGGAGCAGTTTTAATGCTTTTCTGAGTGCAACTTCAGCAACGTCTACAAGATGGTCAAAAGCTGGTGTTATGAATCCAGCACAATAAATAACCATCAGGGATAAGTTCAGAGGCAGTGACACCGTGTTGGTTTGACCAGTCCATCAGCTGTCAGAAAACTTTTTTAAAAGAGCCTTTGGTGTACCATGACTTTACAGTGTTGTAAGGCGGGAAGGAGGGTGCTCAAATGAATCTGTCAATAGATCCTGATGAAGACTTCAGAGGCGATCACCCTCTAAGTGCTAAGGCTGCGTTCCCAAAGACCACGGATTGGAAAACTCAATTGTGTTGTATTGATCCAGCTGGCCATCAGTGAACAGGGGGCTGACAGGTCTGTCAGTGGCCACCACCAATCTTCTTAAATAAAGCCTAAATACAGGCTCAGTACTGCCACTCAATCTCTGGAGCTTGTGGAGTAGAGTGAAATAAATAACGCCTGCTGCAGGCATGGTGAGGCAATCATTCTATAACCAGGTTAACCTCTGGCTGACATTGACCAAAATAAAAACTTAGAAGAGAAAAAAGGCAGGATTAAATGGGCTCAACCAGGCGTGCATGTTGCCGTCTAAGGGCTGAGTCTGCTGGGTACTAGTCCTGATATTAGAGTGCATACAAGTCCAACTCCAGGTCAGCTTAATTGGTATGAAAAAGCAGTTTGTGGAATGAACACGTTACGATTCACCATAAAGCTAATCCTATGTAGCTCTACTGCTGGAGGTCCATCTCTCCGTTAGGCACTGTGGTGAGCGTATCCAGCCATGTGTGGATTACCTCTCCAAATGATCCCAGCAACGAGAGAGCGCACCTTGGGATAAGGCCATCTTTAAACACATGCACATCTATTGGCACTGGAGCAGAAAAGGCTTAGAACAGAGGGACCAACAGCAGGAGCTGAATCAGAGCTGTAGCAGCTTCACATTGTCCAGACAACAAGAGAAACAACAAATGGAGGGAGTGTTTGCATTGATACATGCAGACCTATCTGTGCTCTCAACCCAGGCACTAACCGCCAGCTGACAAGATTGGTCAAAACTAAATGACACCTTCTATAAAATGTGCAACAGAGTCAGAGGGAGGGGAGTCGAAGAGGGATTCCCCCCTTTGACTGACGCAGCAGCCCAAAACCAAACACTGATGGTTATTGATCTGGACCTCTTCAGCTGCTAACATTAAGAGTCAGGGTCCGTGGCTGCAATGCTGAGGAGAGCAGCAACACTAACAAGAGCAGCAAGGCTAAATGAAATCCGAGGAGAATTCTGCCCAACAAAGTCCTGCACGACAGTACTCTTCTCCATCTGTCGGGAAAAGACTGATGAGTGTCAGCTTTCTTTGGCCCTTGGCCCCCACCCTACTTTCATTCATTCATTCGTCTTCTCTGCCTTGGCCCAGGTTTTCTCCAGAATGAAACAGGGGCAATTAGGAAGAAACAATGCTATGGCGTTCCATGCGGTTATTTCATTGGGCCACAGTGGTATATTATAGATGCTTGGAACAATGCCTCTGCACAACCTAAACAGGCAATTTGAAAGCCCTGGAGAAATTAAAACTTCCCAAAATGCTTGGGAGGATGGCTGTTATGGCTACTGCAGGGGAGCATTTCATAAAGGGCTCCATGGAATATAGTTAGCATTTGTATTTACAGGAACACGGTTACCGGGTTGTTAAACAAGAAGGAAACCAAGAGCCTTACGAGGAACCATAAATGATGTCTTCACATTGCTTCTTTAAAAAGAAACATATTGTGGTTATTCGGATGCTGTTGTTTGAGTTGTATTTGTTATTGAATGAAAATGAAAAGTCTGTTAAATGCATGTTTATAAAACCAAGCAGCTCATAAAAAAAATTAAAAAAAGGAATTCCAACTAATTGAATCAATATGCATACAGTGAATATTGGCGGAGCAGTTAGTAATTAGAACTTGAAGATGTGAGAGACTGTTAAAGAATGTTAGCCTCCCACTAGCATTGTTGATTTACTGAACCATTGATGGGTGAAGAAATGCCACAAACAAAGACAACTTTTACTTTCAGAACTTATGGTGTATATGTCCAAAGTTCACATTTAGTCAATTGCTGTCTCATTCATAGCATCATTTTTTGTCAGTCTGAATCAACAGTACAATATTAATATGACAATTTTTATTGTCAATTAATTTTATTTTGTAGAGCCCAAAATCACAAACTACAAATTTGCCTCAGAGAACTTTACACATACAACATCCTTTTCTCTTAAAATCCTCACATCAGCACAGGAAAAAATGAAAAACACTTTGATGTGAAGAAAAAAATGGAAGAAACCTGGATAACGGCTGAGGAGGGATCCCTCTCCCGGGAAGGACAGACCACAATGGATGTCATGTGTACAGAATGAAAAGATAACACAAAACTGTTGAATGAGAAAATGACCAACTACAATCATTCTTTGATGCTGGGGCATCATCTACTCAATAAAAAACTGTTTACACACGCAGGGCTTTAATTAAACAGGAAATTAATGCAGCCTTAATGCGGAGCTCTATATTTCACCCGCACTGTCATTGCAGCATAGGTACGTCTTCTACCGCCTCAGCATCTTTAAATGAAATGTTTAACAGAGCCACAGAACGATTATTTTCACCAGCATTGTGTTTAACCACAAAAAAGTAGCATAACCAATAAAAACAAGTAGGTGCAGTCAAACAGCATGACTTCATCACCGAACCGTTCATGGGTCAGAGCCTGCCAGCCACTGTGCTGCTTTGCACCTGTTACCCTGTACATAAAATGTATTTTTTATGCTGCATACTTTGCACAGAGGCCACATTATTCGAGAAGGGAGCTGGCCAAGCCCCAACGTCCACTTAATGAGTTCCACAGCCTGCTGTCCCCTCATGATGGATGGACATACTTTACGCTCAGTGTACTTAGAAATAACGGATGTTTTATCAGGCACAAATTTGTGCTGTATAGCAGGGACATAGGTTGCAGCACTAGAAGCTCAAAAAGGTAATTCATAGGGACCTTATTTATGTAATACAACAGTTTTGTTTCACCGTTTAATATCGTTCCTTCATGGAAGCCGACAAAACATCAACTTTTTTCACCCTTCTTCAAATGACCCAACTTCATTCTTCCATTTCATATCAATGCATAAGTTTGTGCTTGTAGTGTCCCAGTAGCGACGTGCCCTTTAGATGAGGCGGGATCGTATTATCACCTCTATTTCTGGAAAAACAAACCGTGGGAGGGCAAGATGCATAATTTCCATCACACCCTCTAACCATGTACCCTTGCCAATGTCGGCATGCGTCTTGGTTAAGATGTTGGGTGGGAACAAAGGAAAGGGGGTGAATACATGATGAGGAGGGGGTATTGAGCTTCGGAGGGCTAGGGTTTGGGAACAGCAGAGGGTTAAGCCGCAGATGGCATCCATTGGGCAGGATAAACCAGCTCACATGTTCGGGCTCGGACTAGATTTCACACCCCTCTTGATGAAAACCGCCAT